CTGTGAATCATTTTGAGACATCTTGAAGATGTGATAAGGGTTATTATTATTATTATTAGACATTGTCATGGTATCATGACTTTTTGGTTACGCTGTACCTGCATAATCCACAGACCTCAGAAACTCATGACCATACCTCCATTGAGAGGAAGATCATATGATCAAACAAGTTATGGTCATTCAATTGACTCTGTTACCCAGGTTCTGTTTCAGGAGACCATTTTTTTACCCCAGCCTACATGTTATTTTTCGCAAGGAAATTGATCCAATTAATTTTTAAACACTGCAGATAAGTATACAGTCCAGTAAGACACTTATTTCCACATGTTTGAAAAGACATAGGTATCTTGGGGGTGGTACATTAAGAAACATTGAAGTTGTGAAGAGTTATTGGAAGATCTTTCACATGGAGCATCACTCCTTAAGGTAATGCCAGTTTACTCCACATGTCAATAACACTAAGTGCATCAGCAGCTTTCTTCATAAGTTAATAACACTAAGTGCATTGGCATTCTACTCCACAGATCAATGGCGCCAGGAAAACTGTCTGTCTGCTCCACAAGTCGATGATCTTAAGTGTGTTGACAGTCCACTCCACAAGTCAATGTCACTGAATGTAATGGCAGTCTACTCCACAAGCCAATAATAATAATCCTTGCAAAACACAAAATATTGCAGATGCTGGAAATCTGAAATAAAAACAGAAGTCACTGGGAACACTCAGCCAGTCAGGCAGCATCTATGGAGAAAGGAAAGTGAGTCAATGTTTCGGATCCACGACCCTTCGTCAGAACTCGGGCATGTTGGGAGGGAGAGGCTTTTAACGGCTAACAGAGAGAGGAGAGGCAAGGCAAGGAAGACAAAGGAGAAAATGGAGGTAGAGGACAGCGGATGATGGGTTCAAGAGGTGTTAATGATGCATAACAAAGTGGGGGTTTGCAACAAAGCGGGGGAATAGAGGTGTTAATAATGCAAAAGAAAGGGGGGGGCGGGGAATTTGCAACAAAAAAGGCAGACCAGAGAGTGGGGTCTGAGACTCAGATGATGTGGTAATGGTCACAGAAGAGGGGGAGGGGGAAGGTGAGCTGTTATTTGTGGGCCGTGGAGTCCTGTAGCTCAGTGGTTAGAGCACTCGCTTTGCAAGCGAGAGACCTGAGTTTAATTCCAAGCAGGGCGAAACCTTGGGCAAGTTTCCTTACTCCACACGCCTAATAATAATCCCTCCAAAACCAAAAACAATAATAAATTGGTCATTTTCAATCTACGACTGTTTCTCTTTGACCGAGCCTTCAGCTCCCCTCTCGACTCTCTTCCCCCTCCTCGCTCCCTCCCTTCCCTCCCCTCACCCTGACCATTTCCCCCTTGCTCGGGTCATGACCCAACTGTGCAGCGCCTTGGGATGTCCTCCTGACGTGAAAGGCGCTTTATAAATGGAATCTTGTTGTTGTTGTGGGACATTGCTGTGCGCAATTGGCTGCCGCGTTCGCCCACAAATATACAGTCAATTCACTTTACAGTGTGTTCTGTGAAGCGCTTTGGGACGTCCTCCCGACATGAAAAGCGCTATATCAAATGCAAGGATTATTATTATTATTGTCTGAAATTATTTAAATCAGTATTGAGGTTAGAGGGCTGTAAGTTCCCTAGCAGATAAATGAGGTGCTGTTCCTAGAGCTTGTGATGTGAAAATAATAGTAATAATAGAAAATAATAATCCTTGCCTTTGCTTTAGTAGCTTTCTCATCTCCTAGCCCTTCCCAAGATATATTATACAGTGTAGTGACTGTGTAATTTGTAGGCGAAGCGACAATGACACTGAGTGTTATGCCAGTCTACTCCACAAGTCAATGACACTTCTCACCTCAGGTGCTAACCATATCAATCTGCATGGATGCCCACTTAACCTCACAAAGCTGGTAAGGAACCTCAGGGTTTTGTTTGACTCCTAACTGATCTTCAAACCCTACATCCAGAGTCTCACATGATCAGCGTTATGAGTTGCATGAATGTTAATACGACTTGTGAAGATAAATATAAGTGGATTTAGTAGGAAATTTGATGGGACTTGAGCAGATTTACAACTTAGGCGATTATACAATTTATACAGATCAGACGTATTTACCTTTATTTATAAAATCTAGGTTTCCATTTGCTTTCTTGATAGTTTTGTCTATCTGCCTTCCCACCTTTAAGGATTTATGTATGTTAACCCCTAGGTTCCTTGGCTCTTCCACACCTTTCAATACTTTACTATCTAACATATATTTGTTCTCCTTATTCTTCCTCCCAACATGTGTAGCTCTGCATTGGTCTGCATTAAATTTAATTTGCCATTTCTCTGTCCAATCAACTAACATGTCAATGTACCCTGAAGTGCCTTACAATCTTCTTCATTGTTAATTATATTTCCTATCTTTGTGTCATCTGCAAATTTAGAAATTGTGCCCCTTATAGCCCCTACTATTTACATCTCTCCATTGTGAATAACAATCTTGTACTCCTACCATCTGCTCCATCCTTTAACCAACCGTCTATCCATTTTGCTACCTTTCCACGAATACCAGTTGCCCTAATTATTTTAACAAGCATTCAAAAGTCATCTGAAAATCCATGCACATGTGTAACACATCCACAGAAATACCTTCAGCTATTTCAGAAGTCGCTAGGAACACGCAGCCGGTCAGGCAGCATCTATGGAAAGAGAAAAATGAGTTAACGTTTCAGGTCGATGACCTTTCGTCTCCAGTACGTTGACAGTTTTTATTTCAGATTTCCAGCATCTGCAGTATTTTGTCTTTCCTTTTTCTATTCCATTGATTATTTTGTTAAAAATACTTGCCTTTAACAAATCGATGTCTTTAATCAATCTGTGTCTATGCAAATGGTTATTAATATTATCAAATGGTTATTAATATTATCTATATTATAGCCTCTAAAAGTCAGCCAAAAGGAGCTGAGCCAGAATGATAGCACATAAAACAAAAATTAGGGGCTATCATTTTAAAGGCAAGAAAATAATATACAATTTTACTTCTAAAAGTCTAGTGTTGATTTTAGACTGGAAATTCTTGGTTTCAGTGTTCAGTCTTGACGTCAATAGAAGTGAGGATCTGCATACCTGACTCTGTGACTGAGAGCTTTTGAAAAGTTTCACTGAACACTCGCACAGCACTTTGATAATTCATTCTGAATAGCCTGGGTAAAAGTGCATGACGAATGTTTAAAGAGCAGGAACATTGAAGGCCAAAAAGAAAAAAATATCTGCAGTGGAAAACATTCAGCGTTCAAATCCGATGAAGTACACATTTCAGTGAAAACCCACAAAGAAATAAAACGTTTATAGGAGAAACAGACTGAATCCGTTCTGGTGAGAATCTGTATTATTTTGAAGCTTTTTTTAAAAGTGTTTAATTTATAATATTACTGTGTTTATTATTTAATTTATTTGGCTATTAAATATATTGCCCAAAGTATTTATTAGTTTTTTTTCACTATTTGGCAATAGTAGGATTAGCAGAGTTTAAAAGAGAGAAGTAATTATTACTATAATGATTAAGTAATCAAAACTGAGGTAAAAAGGGTTTCATTGTATTTAAAAGATATTTAAACATTTGAGCTATAATCTGAGATTCCTTGAAACGGAGTATTGATTATCACTAATAATACACACCCAATTGTTTTTTATTGATGTAAAAGACCCATATTATATTACAGTATAATAAAAGTTGCATTTGGTATCGCACCTTTTACGTCGAGACGATGTCTCAAAGAGCTTCACAGGATTCATTGTAAAATTACATGGCTGAACATTTTGTGGCAAACACCGCAGTCAATTTGAACACAGTCATGAAGTGAATTATGAAGTAAGCAAACAATCTATTGTGCTCCTTTTCACAATGGAAGTTAAAAAAAATGAAAACAGATGACATTTTACTGCACTATCTTGTCAACCCTGTCAAAGTGCAAGCTTTGTGGAGTCCTGTAGCAAATTGGCTGGAGCACTCGCCTCGCAAGTGAGAGGACCTGGGTCCGATTCTAGGACATGGTGAAACCTTAGGCAGGTTTCCTTACTCCACACAACTTTGTTTACTTAGCAGTAAGTTGGAACCCGGCTGTTAGTATATTGGTGGATCCCTTTTTGGGGGTAACAATCCCTTCAAAAAATAATAATAATAATTTAGTCACTGAATCCATGACTGTTTGTGGGACACTGCTGTGCGCAATAGGCTGCCACGTTTCGCTCATAAATGTACAAGCAATTCACTTCACAGTGTATTCTGTGAAGCGCTTTGGGACATCTCAATGATGTAATGATACTATATAAAATGCAGGGATTATTATTATATATTATGTCTGTTGTTTGTATCCTCATCCTTTGTCCTTGAAATTGTGCCTCTATTTGGGAAGGCAGTCTGTATTGTCTCCATTAACACAGAGTTGATTTAAGGTGCCTTGTACATTTGATACCATGTTCCCTTTGTTGGAGATGCACTTTGTATTGGAAACACTTCCTTGGAGATAATCTTTACCTTTTAAGTGTAATTTTACATTGCAAGCATAAAATTCCCTTAGCCACAGCAGGCTTAGGGGTTGTTTGATCATCTATTGTCCATATTTAACATCCAATCATACTTTAATCAAATATCCAACCAGTTAGCACAACATGAAGTGCTCCTGATAGGAGTTGCTGCCTCGTAACTGTTACTGTATGGGTGATTTTCGAATGTGCATCTAACTCGTGAGCAGTTAATTTTCTTTATTTTGAAGGAGGCAATGTGATGTTACATGGTGAGGTTTGACTAATTAATGAACAACATCAGGTATTGTTCCTAATCCTGCCTCCGGCAGACATTAATCTTCAAGTCACTATGCTGCCCTTATTGATTCTTTCATTCGCCAAGCATCTTCAGATATTTGCAAATTGCCTTCTCCTGTTTACTCTCTGCAGGACTTCGCCCTTCAACATGAAAATAGTGATTGTTTTGGGCATTGTAATCGTGATGACTTGTGTAGCATTACTGTTCTCATTTAATAAGGAAGATACAATGATCAGCACGGGTGAGTTTCACAGTTACATACTGAACCTAGTACTTCTAAGAAAAGTTTAGTTTCGAAATAGTTGAATTAAAAGGCAATTAATTCACTAAAAATGAAATAAACTTGTACTCAAAAATGTTGTTCACATTGAAAGATTTTATGTGACCACTAATTTCTTGTTCAAGGACATTTAAAACCTGTTCAAACTAAACACTGTACAGCAGTATATTTAAAATATCCATGTGCAGAATGCTTGCAGTCAAATTAGTTTTCAGTTTTCAAAAATCTTCTAAAAGAATTTCTAAAACAAATGAATCCTTTCAGATCAGATTCCTGAAAGGATTTTTTTTTAGAAAAAATAATTACTATCATCAAGATTTAATGGACTGTGGTACTATTACACAGAACCATAGAGCACAGGGTAGGTTTGTGCCTTCCTGATCTTAAGAAATGAATTTATTTAGCCAGAAGAAGAGAAAGATGAAAATATTAGAGGGGATTTCATCACGGACCATTTTTAAACCCTTCCTGGAGGCTGGAATCAGGTAGCATTCGAAGCAGGACAATTCACCAAGCTATTGGTTCAATACTGATTCAATTATAAGACAATGTCCTAAAAACAAAGAGGGGTGGGAACTACTACAGATATATTAGGTATATAAACATTTCCAATAAGCAAGTATTATAAAATAAACTGATGGAATGGATTGCATTACTCTTGAACCTGGGTTCCAATCCAGCTGGACAAAAAATGAAAATGTAACAAATTTAGTTTCAATGGGATAAACTCTTGAATATTGGAAAAGCAGAAATAGAATTTGGGATCCAGGATGTAGGATTTCTAACCGGATTCCTTGACTATGCATTCTCACTAGAAATCCAATCGAAGCTCCAGGAATGCGGATCCAGAAATACATTGCATTAGAGGATTCATTGTTCTGCAATTACATTGACTGGAAAGAATCCCAATTTATATCACTTGGATTCCTTACTGAGCAATACAGTTAGAAACACTGCAAATTATACACCACTGTGTGAGTAAAACGTTGAGAAACGAACATACAGATCTAATGAATCCTAGAAATATTCAATGTTCTCCTTATTGTCAGCCTGGCTCAGTTGTTAAACTATTGCCTCTGAGTCAGAAGGTTATGGGTTATGTGGGGACTTGGAACAAACAGTTTAGGCTGACAGTCCAATATAGCATTGTCGGAGGTGCCGTCCTTCAGATTAAACATTGAACTGAGTCCTCATCTACTTGCTCAGATGGTCATCAAAGATTCCACAGCATTAAGAGACAAGGATAGTTTCTTCCATTATTCTGATCATTAATCCCCAGATACAATTCACTAGATAGCTGTTTCACTTGGAGTTCTTGTTCGACCCTGAACTGTCATTTCTCCCCCACATCCGCGCCATGACCGGCACTGCCTACCACCACCTCTGCAACATTGCCAGACTCCGCCATTGCCTCAACCCTCAGGCTGCCGAAACCTTCACCCACATGTCACATCAAGGCTCGATTATGGAAACTCCCTCCTCATCGGCCTTCCCAACTCTTCCCTTCACAAACTGCAGATCATCCAAAACTCTGCAGCTTGTGTACTCTCATGCACCAAACTCTGCGACCCCATCACTCCCACCCTCGCAGGGCTCCACTGGCTCCCCTTCCCCCAGAGGATCGAGTTTAAGATCCTCGTCCTCACTTTCAAGGCCATCTATGGCCTTGCCCCCTCTTACCTCTCTGACCTGCTGACTCCCTACCAATCTGCCCGCTCCCTCCATTCAGCAGGCTCCAGCCTGCTCCATGTCTCCCGTCCGACCTGCCCTACCATCGGTGGCCGGGCGTTCAGCCTCTCTGCCCCCACACTCTGGAATTCCATCCCACGGTCCCATCGCCTCGCTTCCTCTCTTGCCTTCTTCAAGGCCGGTCTCAAGACCCTTCTCTTCGATCGTGCCTTTAGTGTCCCTCCCACCTCTCTGCCTTCCCTCACCACTCCATCACCCCTCCCCCATGCTCAGGCCCCGACACCTGACTGTTCAGCACTTTGGGACATCCTCCCGACATGAAAAGCGCTCTATAAATGTAATTTTGTTGTTGTTGTTTAAGGAACGTAGCTGTGCACGAACTGGCTGCCGCATTTGCCTAACAATCCTGCACTAGAATCCATGAGCCTATCATCTCCATCTTCGCCTGCTCCAATGGCTCCCCATCCCCCAATGGATTGAATTCAAGATCCTAATAAAGGGATCGAAATCCCTCCGTGGTCTTGTCCCACTCTACCTCTGTGACCTCCACAAACCCTACAAACCTTGTCACGTGTTCCGCTCAGCAGGCACCAGCATGCTTCATGTTGCCTGACCCGCCTGCCCACTATCGGCTGTTTGAGTGTTCAGCATATGTGCTCCCGTTGTTTGGAGCTGCATCTTGAAGTCCCTTCAACTCATACCATCCTTTTCCTGATTCAAGATCCACCTAAGATCTTTGTTTTGCCACCTTTCTCCCCCACTCAGCCCCTCACCCCCCATCCCCTCGGTCCTCATCCCCAGCTTAGATGCAGGTCTTAGACTGCCCAGCACGTTGGGATATCCTCCGGACATGAAAGACGCTCCATAAACATAAATTTATATAGTATTGTGCTAATATCCAGTCACTACACTTCATTGTAAAATCCCCTGAGTGCTCTGAAATGCTTTGAGATGTTTTGACAACATGATAAGGTGCTATATTAAATGTAAGGATTATTGTTGTTGATAGATATGGGAAAGATTGCATTGTGTAACCAATGAGAATTTTGTTCTGTATTTTGAAGAGTATTGGGAAAAGCTTGGTGACCCCTTTTTATCCACTGTGATTCAAGAAGGACTAAACACTGTGGATGGTGCAATATATCACACAATGAAAAGGTAGGTAACAGAGGAAAAAATAAATGGTCCTCTAAAATGAGATTGTGTTATTTTTGGAATGATCAGTGCCTGAATTAATAGAACTATCATTCTGTCTGCCTCTGACTAGGGATCTCTATCCATCCTCGATCTCTCTGGTGCTTTGACCCCATTGACCACTCCATCCTACTTCATCATCTATGATATATTTCCGCAGGTCTATATTTTCCCTGCTTTTACACATACTTGTCTCAGCATCATCACTATGTCTCCTGTCCAGGGTAGTCACGTGCAATGTTCCTCAAAGCTCCTATTCTTGATAATCTACTTTGTTTCACCCACCTGCTCCCTCTTGGTGACATCATTCACAGTCATGAGATTCTTTTTTCACATGAACATTATTGGCATTCAACTCTACCTTTCTGCCTCCATCCTTGACTCTAAAGCCCCCTGCTGTTCTGACAAACTGCCTGTCAGATATCATGTCTTGGATAAGCCTTAACTTTCTCACAATGTAACATTGACAAATATGAGGCTATCCCACTGGGATCCCGTCACACCTCCTCACCTCAGGCACTGACTGTACAGTATCAACACTGCTGGTTCCTTCCCTGCTGTAGATTTACTCTATTAATATAACATTTCAGAGCATATAGAATTTGGTGAAGTCCTTAATACAGCTTTAATTTTAAAGCCAGTTTTCTGTAACCTTTTATGAACTACAGAAAATTGACTTCAAATTTAAGACTGAATTCTGGATACTCTAAACTGGTAATAGTTAATGTTAATAGAGTGAATCTAGATCCAGATGGACTTCTACCCTATTTTTTGAAAATATATATATATTTATTTATAAATATAATATTTGGCCCAACAGAAATCCCAAACAAAAACAACATAAACATCTTCTGTTACATTTTTCCTTTTCTCCCGATACAAACACATTCCGTCCTTTACGTTACATTCCTTCACTGCACACAGGTTTTTATGTTTTTTGGACGCTCCCTTTAAAACAATCGGGAGTCGCGCCTGTGCACACCACATCCATGTGTGCGCCTGCACATGCCCTGATAAGGCGCACTTGCCACTTTTGGAAGGTGCCCCATGTGCACTGTACGCTCACATGTTTACTGTACGTACATTTTTTGGGCCGCTCTTTATTTACATCTCAAGCGTCCATCTGTACATTTATATGGTTACCCTTACGTTTATTTTAGTCATAGTTTTGGGTGCGTTTGTGGCTTCCTGGTGGGAGTGTCCTGCGCCTTACTCCAGACCTGGTGGGGAATGGCTCAGTCTCGTCCCCGTTTACTGTGACTGCGCTACAGGTGTCTGTGTAGAGCAGTCGGATCCACCTGCATAATCCCTCCCCAGAGCCATTTTGGAGAGTAACTCATGCGCTGTGAGATACCCTGTCAAAGGCTTTCTCTTGATCAAGACTGATCAGGCAGGCCTTCACCCCCCTTTCCTGCATGTAGGCTCTGGTACCCTGAGCAGCATGAGGCTGTCCGAGATCCTTTGGCCCGGAACAATGCAGGTCTGGTCTGGGTGTATTTTCCCGCCCAAGGACAGTTTTTATCGGTTCAGAGATCACCTTTGCCAGGATCTTACAGTCTACATTCAGTCGCGAGATCGGTCGCCAATATCTCCTCCCCCTTTTGTTTGTACAGTAGGGAGAAACTGCCTTTCCTCATAAACTCTGCCATGGTCCTTGCTAGCAGCATGTTGTTAATGTTGTTAATAGTCAATATATTTAGCCTTCAGGACAGCAATTCTTTTCCTCCTTTCACTCAATGTTCTATTTTCCAAGTCACCGTTCCACCTCTTATATGGATGTCTGCGAACCCTTTCTTCATTCCTTTTTCAACTGCTTTCTGTAAGCAATATTCCTCCCTCTCTTACTCTGATTCCAGAGATTTAGGGGGTATGACTGAGAGACACAGCCATGCTCATGCTATATACCCACTCTCGTAACAGCATAATTAAATAAAAATCTAAAACTGCTTTCTATCCCTAACATGTGTTGTTAAACCTTTAGCTGTCAAAGCAATTAAATGCTCATTACCCAAACAGGACATTTACCATATTTTAACAATCTATCCTATTACAGTTAATGACACATTAAAATTACTATATATATACACATAATATATATTGAAAGTCAATTTCGATTTTAATAAAAACCAAGATAATCGTTATCCACAACTAAAATTTCACTCTCAGTTGTGTAAGTTAATTATGCTTCTCAAAAGAACTTGGTGAGCTGCTGTTTTGTGGTGTTTTCATCAGTTGTCTTTACCTTCTCAGGAGGATTAGTGATTGATGAAAATGAGTCTAAGTCCAATTCTGTAGCAAGAACAGAGGGGAATAAAATCAACGCCTACTGCAATCCTAAACAGCAATCAGTAGATTTGTCCAGTGTTTTTCTAAGATGTAATCATGAAAAGCAGCAATAGAATACTTTAACAGTACTCTGCCTGGAGTTTCTCTTGAGCAGGCCTATACGTACATTCACCAGAAGAGGATGAAATGCACACAGTTGCCTACAGATGTAGTGTAGTCAATAAGACAGAAACATTCCAAAGGTGCTTAGAAAGCATTGGTACAGATATTAAAATAATTTTTGTTTCCAGGAAGTGGGGTTGGGGCCTGGACGTTGGACTCAGTTAAAAACAGCTTGGTGCTGTGATGGGAGGATGGGAGAGTGGATGTTTCAGAAGGATAAGATCAAAGGGACTAAAAAGCTTTCTTCATCTGAATCAATCTTGTGATCCTGCAAAGTTTCCAGCACAAAATTAGACCATTTGGCCCATTGTGTTTATCCTGGTGGCAGTTTTCTCCACTGGAGCAAAACACAATAATCCAAATCCCTTTAATATTACTTTTCCGTTGGAATAAATTTGAATTTTTGTATCACTCCCTTTTAAATGCAATCATGGACTCGGCTTTCACAGCCCTTTGTAACATATTACATATTCTAACACTGCAAAAAAGAAATTCTTCTCACCTACTTATTTTATCTTCTGATGATACTGCTCAAAATTATGTTCACTTGTTACTGACTTACCCATCAGTAGAGATAGACTTTTCGCTTTGTCTGATCAGAACCATTTCAAACATACTTTCAAAACCTCTATTAGACGCAATCTAGCTTTCTCCGCTCCAATTGAAACAGTCCCAATGTTTTAAACCAGTTTAAAAATAAGTTATGTAAATTACAGCCAACACAGTTTCAAAATGAGCAGATCTTTTCTGACCAACCTCTTAGATTCTTCTCTCAAAATCTCCAAATAATTGAATTTTTCATGCCTCCCTTTGGCTATAATGGGCTTTGCTGTAATGGGAAAAACAAAATAAGCATTTAAGTCTTTTGGAGTTCAAAATTATCTTGTGTTTTCACACAAGCTGCTTATGGGAAACTGCTGTTGTAAATTGGCTGATGTTTTCTCTTACAAAATAATACAATATTCATCTCATAATAAATATCGTGACACTTTTGAGACATCCATCTGACGTGAAAGGTAGTATATCAAATGCAAGTATTATTATTACTTGCGCCTTGGGACGTCCTCCTGACGTGAAAGGCGCTTTATAAATGGAATCTTGTTGTTGTTGTATTAGTAGTAATTACATTTTACCTTGCAGCACATGCATTTGAATAACAAATTGAAAACACATTCACCTCATTCATTCATCTTTATAATGAAGCAGTTTTCATAAACTGCAGTAACAAATCTGTGCTATTTAAACTGTTGAACGAGTCAACTATAGTTTGATATCATTTCCATTTTCTCTCTGTTTGATTTCAGGAACATTAAAAGGGATAAACTTGCTTCCCCCACTGAGTTGATGTCATTTTTCAAGCGACCGGAACCTGAGAGCAGGAAGGTTTCAAGAGCTGCTGAAATAATGGAGATGACTCTTCACCTGATCAAAAACAAAGTGTATCAAAAATATAAAAGATCAATCAATGCTACTGGTGAGGAGATTATAATTTATAACATCATAGCTCACGAGTCGGAAGACTTGATTGCTGGTTTAGGACTCAAATCCGAAAGATCCAAGTTCTTATCTTAGCTCATGTCAAAGTCAATCATTTTCTCAGCTTGTTATCCAGCGTCAACCTCAATCACTCCCAATTGAAATGACGCAATGCCAGACTCTTAATAATTTAATGCAGACTTCTTATAATTTCTCCCACTAGTTATTCCTGGGGTCCGCTTGGAATGTGATTACCAATCATCATCATCCTTGCATTTCATATAGCGCCTTATCACATCTTCGAGACGTCTCAAAGCTCTTCCCAGAAAATACTGTAAAGTCCAGTGACTGTATTTGTGGGTGAAATGCGGCAGCCGATTGCACACAGCAGTGTCTCACAAACAGTCGTTGAGCGATTGACCAATTTATGAGTATTTATTTTGAAGGAATTATTATTATAGAAGGAAAATTATAACAGAGTACGGGCGTCACTACACTTTACACACATACACACTGTACTATCTAGTGACACACACACACAAACACACTGTACCATCTAGTGACACATACACACAAATCTAGTGTCATTCTGCATGGAATTGGGATGACACTGGGATCTGAAATGTGGGTTGTGCTAACTAATAATAAAAATAATCCTTGCATTAGTTATAGTGCCTTTCATGTCAGGACCACATCCCAAAGCAAAGCACTTCACAGTGACTGTGTGTTTTGTGGGTGAATGCAGCAGCCAATTGCCACAACAATGTCCCACAAACAGCCATGAAGTGAATGATCAATTTAATTTGGGGTATTGTTGGATAGGATACCAGTATTTTCAATAGTGCCACGGTATCTTTAACATCCACCTGAACAAGCTGTGGATGCTCAGTCATTGAATATATTCAAGACTAAGATTGATAGACTTTTAAAAACTGAAAGGGATTAAGGGATATGGGGATAGGGCAGGTAAATGGAATTAGGTTAGAAGATCAGCCATGTCCTTATTAAATGGCGGGGCAGGCTCGAGGGGCCGAATGGTCTATTCCTGCTCCTATTTCTTATGTTCTTAACAGGCAGTGGGGCCCCAGTTTATTATCTCATCTGAACGACAGCAACTCCGACAATGCAGGATTGCATTGGAGAGTCATTTTAGACCATATGAGTTCCAATTCCTGATGTGAGGTTGAATCCACAAGGGAAGATGGACTAACTCATTTAGGACCATTCCCAGTTGAGATCCACATGACAACTCAAATCTCAGATGGGAGTACAACATTTACTCAGGAATCATAAGTTGCATTCTAAAAATATATCAAGATTAATTAAAAACCTTAAAAAACATCAAGCATCACAATTATACTTTCAGATAATATCTAATACATTAATTACAGAATCGTTACTCACAGAAGCGAGAGTGTCAGTTGTCAGAAGGCAACTATGTGAAACAATATGTGTAAAGAGGGAATTACAGGTACTGAGAGGATTACAGAATTATCTGTAAGCCTTTTAACTTGTTGTTAAATGCATAATTAAAGTCAACTCTAATTCCCACTTTACACATGCCGCAAACTCAAATATTAGATCCCACTGTCACATTTCACTTTATTTGCGAAAAGGATACTTTCATTATATCAGTCTGTGCTTCATTTCATGCAGCTGTCATGGGTGAAAGGGAAGCATGTAAACTCACCATCATATACATTCCTGCTTAATACAATTTCCAGCAAAATCTATAGTATTCTTTAGATCATATAATAATCATAATTTTTATACTTGGTATAATGCCTTTCAAATTGTGAGGTCATCTGAAGCGCTTGATAATGCTGGCTGGGCACCCGAGCTGGGGATGGGCACCAAGAGAGGTGCGGACGGGAAATGTAGTCATGAAAGTGTAGTTGAAGAGACGTGCCCGGAAAGAGAGGAGGGAAGGAATGAATCGTGGCAGAATAGCAGATAAGGAGGGGGATATTTAGCACATCTATGTGGTTTTAGCTGGGTAGACTCCAGCAGTGTCCCAAACGCTGGAGTTCCCAAGCCTTTGGGTTTGCATACTCTTAAGTATGGTGATGGACTTCCATACATGTCAGACACCCAGATGACAAAACAAACTTGCTCTTCAACCTATCCCTAAAGACCAGTTTATAACAGACAACATTTACCACATAGCTTGCCATTGAGGGCATTGCCTGGCAAGCTTTCCTGCTGCTTGTTCAGCTAGGACCATCATACCCGTTAGGGCTTTGGCTTGCAGGATTAACGGGAGCTAAGTGGGAAGAGTCCCTGCGACGTGAACAAGGTGAATATATAAATTATTATCATTAAAGCCTACATTGAGATCTTGAGATTTATGTTCTAGATAAACAATAAACACATTAAATCCAAATACATTTATCTTCTATCATTCTGTGGGAAGCACCTTTAGAAACCTGAAATAAGCCCTTGTGTATTTTATGTTCCCGTCAGTCATACATGATGGAAAATCTTGCTTTGCACTTTGTTTCAGATCTCCTCTCGTTCGATTCATTGATTGCACTTGCAAACACTTCAGGATGCTTCCCTCGCGTCCAGCCTCCCACTTGCTCCAACAGCTGTTTAGCCCACAAATACAGGACAATTGATGGAACCTGCAACAACAGGTTTTTGAAAATGTTTCCTTCATTTATTCATACTGTTGCTTAGAGTTTGTGAGTATGTTTAAAAATGTTCATTTTGGTTAAGTTTAGTGTCTTGGAGGGAATTCTCCAATTGAGGTAGTACTGTACAGCTCTGTGTAATGTGTCACCGTCTGTCAATTGCTTTGCTCTAATTGGTTGCCATGTTCACCTAAAAAATACACAGTCACCATAATTTACTATGAATCCTCTGAAACGCTTTGAGACGTCCTGCCAACACGAAAGATGCTACATTGAATGTAAGATTTATTATCACAAACTTTCTGTACGAGTAGCAAATCTTTGTAGATATTACCACTCCTGCGGGTATCCTCTTTATACTGAGACATCCTCATAACTATAATCCCTCAAACCTGGTATCATCCTTGTGAACCTCCAATGGACCTTTCTACTCTAAGGTTACAGTGAAAAATCTTTCACTATATATCCTCCCAAAACCATTAGAAAGACATCCATTGCACTTTCAATGCAATATCATTTATATTTAGATGGCTCCTTTCACATCAGGAGGGTGCCTCAAAGCAGTTTATCCAACTGAGATGGGCCCTGGGGGTGATTTAAAAGGATGGGTGGTGGGGAAAGGGAAAATGATCAAAGAGGTAAATGATGAAAGGTTTTAAAGGTGAGAAGGCAATGGACTCTGGGATGGAGTTCTAAATCATGAGGGAATAATGGATGAAAGATCACCCACCGAGGGAAATAGACCCCATTTGTTGAGCCTAATTATAACAGCTCATCTTTGGTGTCATCTCTGAAAACCTATGCAGTACGCTTTCCATGGCTACACACAACACTTCAATTGTTGCCTTACATAAATTTAGCTGCAGCACATCACCCATAACCGAACCGGCCAAACCCTAGTTACTTGAACAAACATTATATTATTTTTGTTTTAAAAAGTACCTGTATTGATATATCTCAGTTATATCTCCATCTCACTCTAACAAATAAGCACATTGCTTAGTTAGCAATTTGTTTCACTTTTTATTTTAAGTCGCACCTTGACATTTCAGTAAATGTGTCCAACTCTGTGCTTGTCACAAGCGCCCACAAGGTACACAGTCACTTAACTTTATAGTACATCCTGCAAAGTATTTTGAAATGTCCTCTTGAAGTCTACCTCCCTTATTAAATGTAAACATTATTATTGTAATTTCAACAGTGAAGACAGAGGTAGAAAATAGGACAATGTTTTTGAATGTTAGAAGAATCAAGGGAAGAGATATGATAGAAGTAATAACTATGAACAAAATAAGGAAAGGCAGAGAATTATAGTGAGTAAGAGAGAGAGAGAGAGAAGGGAGAAACAGAATTTTCAAATATCCTGTTAATTAATTTGAAAAAATATCAAAAGACCCTCTGGATATACAGTAGGCACAATATTCATGTCTTGGACGCAAATTTAGATTAATAATAATAATATAATAATAATATCATTATAAACAAATTTAGATTAAATAGAGTTTAAAATGGAAAAATCAACAGTAACAACAACAAAATTACATGTGTATAGCGCCTTTCATGTTGGGAAGACATCCCAAGGTGCTGGACAGTCAGTGTTTTGGGCGAGGATTGGGGTGATAGGGTCACGGACTCTGGCTTGGGAGAAGACCTGGGCTGCAGAGATCTGGATGATCTGCAGTCTAGGGCGGGAAGAGTTGTGGAGGACGGCAACCAAGGAGTTTGTATAGTCAAGCCTCGATGTTATGAATATGTGTATGAGGGATTCAGCAGCCTGAGGTGTGAGACAGTGGCAGAGCCGGGCAATGTTGCGGAAGTGGGGGAAGGCAGAGCGGTGATGGCACGGATATGGGGTAGAAAGGATAGTTGAGGGTCAAACAAGATGCCAAGATTCCGGACTGGCTTAATAAGGTGATTTGTGCATCCATGGTTGGTGATGCTGTTAGCGCCTGAGGTGTGGAGGCACCAAACAGGAGGGCCTCAGTCTTGCTACATTTAACTGAAGAAAGTTAGCTCTCAACCAGGACTTGATGTCTGCCAGACATTCTGTCAGGACAGCAGTGGTCCTGGAATCAAGAGTGGAGGCAGAAAAGTAGTTGGGTGTCATCCGCTTACATGTGGAAGTTGACCCCACTTTTGCGGATGACGTCACCAAGAGGGAGCATATAGATATTGAAGAGGAGGGGACCAAGGACAGAGCTCTGACGGTGCGGGGACTAGAGGAGAAACAGTTTGTGGAGAAGATGTGGAGGTGGTGTGAGAGGTACGATCTGAACCATTCGAGGACATAACTGTGAAGGTTGAGGTGAGAGGAGAGGCAGTAGATGAGGATAGAGTGGTCAAGAATGCAAAGGCAGCAGAGAGTTCAAGCAGAGGGAGCCCTGGTCGCAGATGGACAGAATGTCATTTGGCACTTTGACCCAGCCTGTTTCTGCTTGTGGGCGGCACGGAAATCCGATTGGAGGGGTTTATGAAGAGAGTGACCTTCATCTTCTTGGAGACAGCATTAATATTGAATGAGATGTTAAGAGTTCCATTCCAGATCAGAGGAGACAGTGAGGCTATGAATGCTGACTGAAAAAGGAGGAATAAGTATTGAGGCACCAATGATAAGAGGATGTAGCTGTTGGCTAGATATCTAGAGACCTGGAGAAACTGTCTTTGAAGAATTGAAAGAAACAAGGTTTCCCTTGTTTCACTGCAGGACATAGACAATATCAATGTTTATTGGTTTTGGCAATGCACATTGAGGGGAAGAAAAATTGTGTGCTCAGCAGGGGTGGAGAGGGAGGAAGGATCATGTGATTCAAAGCAACTTGATGAATGTAAAGTGGATTCTTCATCAATAGCATAGTTAAGATTGAATGGTAATAAAGCATTGGTATGGAGAGAGAACAAAGTGGGAAAGATAACAGAGCCCTGCGTATTTTCTTCTCTTTTAAAAGAAAATTGTTAAACAAAGCTCAAATTACAGAAACTCACATAAAACACTGTCTTTCTGTGTTTCAACCATTAAACATAGTGCTGACAGCCATACTTCAAACCCTACAATCCATATGTGGCATCAAAAGCACTGAATCGATAACTCCTTTGATTTCATTTCAAACATAATATGAAACTTAAAATCCAAATTATGCCAAAGAATTGAAAGAAACATTTTCTTTGACTTGTAAAAAAGACAAGTCACCATAGAGTCGTGGAGTCCTGTAGCTCAGTGGTTAGAGCACTCGCTTTGCAAGTGAGAGACCTGAGTTCAATTCCAGGCAGGGCGAAACCTTGGGCAAGTTTCCTTACTCCACACGCCTAATAATAATCCCTCCAAAAACCAAAAACAATAATTAATTGGTCATTTTCAATCTACGACTGTTTGTGGGACATTGCTGTGCGCAATTGGCTGCCGCGTTCGCCCACAAATATACAGTCAATTCACTTTGCAGTATGTTCTGTGAAGCGCTTTGGGACGTCCTCCCGACGTGAAAAGCGCTATATCAAATGCAAGGATTATTATTATTATTATTATAGGGAGCAAAAGCAAATTGATTATTAACAAAAGTAATAATCCTTGCATTTGATATACTTCCTTATCATATCTTTGAGACGTCTCAAAGCCCTTCACAAAATATATTGTAAAGTGGAGTGTCTGTGTATTTTTAGGGTGAGAAGATTAAAATTTTCTGGGTGACTCACCCCCAACCACTGTCCACAAGTAAAATTAGGTACTCAGAACTCATACTCAAGCTGTACAGTCTTCCTGTCAGAGAACACCTAGAGTATTGCAGACAGTTCTGATCATTCTGACATCAAGGGGCTGTCGAGGCCCTAAAGGCAGTGTAGAGGAAAGTAACGAGGAAAGTAATCCCAGAACAAGAATTTTGATTGAGCTGAGATAGCAGAGAACATGGGCTTAGGCGACCCAAGTTGAATTTCAGGATAGATATCAGGATTTAACACAGAGGATAATTAACAACTAGAATAGGTTACCAGGAAGGGTGAATGAGGCCAAGAAACTGGACTTATTTAATAAAACAGCTTGATACTGAGATGGTGGGTGGGTGTTCTGGAAGCATGTGATCAGATAATAATAATAATAATAATAATCCTTGCATTTGATATAGCGCTTTTCACGTCGGGAGGACGTCCCAAAGCGCTTCACAGAACACACTGTAAAGTGAATTGACTGTATATTTGTGGGCGAACGCGGCAGCCAATTGCGCACAGCAATGTCCCACAAACAGTGGTGGATTGAAAATGACCAATTTATTATTGTTTTGTTTTTTGGAGGGATTATTATTAGGCGTGTGGAGTAAGGAAACTTGCCCAAGGTTTCACCCTGCCTGGAATTGAACTCAGGTCTCTCACTTGCAAAGTGAGTGCTCTAACCACTGAGCTACAGGACTTCACAAAGGAAAGGCTTGTTCATCAGAATCATCTTGTGATTCTGTGTGATTTTCAAACAAGATGAAACTAAATGTATGCTTATATATAATATAGCCCTTAAAATAGTTGAGATGTTTCTTGAAACTGATATCTGGGACACCTGAAGAAACTGTCTTTGAAGAATTGAAAAAAAAGTTTTCAATTGCCCCGTCACAAGATATAGACAATATCAATGTTTAATGCAGAAATTCATCTGAATTTGGAAATTAATTAATGTTAAGAACTGTAGAAAACCAGCTTCCATATTAAGACTGAATTTAATAAATTTCCACAATTTTACCTAATCTTTAATTTTAAGTGGTCAAAACTCGAATTATGGACTAAGACTGTATAAAAAATGTAAATGGAGTGCAGGAACAGAAAGACCTGGGGTTCACATACACAAATCTTTGAAGGCGGCAGGACAAGTTGACAGAGCTGTTAAAGGAAGCATTTGGGATCTTTGGGTTTATAAATAGAGGTCTAGAATATACAAAAGCAAGGAAGTTATGCTAAACCTTTATAAATCACTAGTTAGGCCTCATCTGGAGTATTGTGTCCAATTCTGGGCACCATACTTTAGGAAGGATATCAGGGCCTTGGAGAGGGTGCAAAGGAAATTTACCAGAATGGTATCAGGGTGAGGGACTTCAGTTACACTAGAGAAACTGGGATTAATCTCCTTAAAGCAGAGAAGGTTAATCGAGAGATTTTACCAGAGATGTTCAAAATTATGTAGGGTTTTGATAGAGCAAATAAGTAGAAACTGTTTCCACAGGTGGGTAGGTCGGTAACCAGAGGATACAGATTTAAGATAATTGGCGAAAGAACCAGAGGGGAGATGAGGAGAATCTTTTTTACGTAGCAAGTTGTTATGATATGAAATGCACTGCCTGAAACAGTGATGGAAGCAGATTCAATAATAACTTTCAAAAGGGAATTGGATGGGTACATGAAAAGGAAAAAATTGCAAGGCCATGGGGAACAGTGGGGGAGTGGGACTGATTGGGACACGCACAATGGGCCGAATGGCCTCCTTGTGTGTTGTAATACTCTAAATGTAATTTTTTTCCTTTAATTAACCACCAAGTTCATGGCTATTTGTGTGACAAATCAACTGCCATATTTGCCTGCAAAATACACAGTCACTACACTTCACAGTAAATTCTGTGAAGCTCTTTGAGATGTTCTCTCAACATGAAACGCAGCACTTTATGGAATGCAAGGATTATTATAAGGATTATTGTAAATTCTCTTTTAGAAACAATCCTCGATGGGGAGCCTCAAACACTGCTCTTGCCCGATGGCTTCCTCCACAATATGAGGACGGATTCAGTCAGCCCAAAGGATGGAATTCCGAGTTCTTGTACAATGGCTTAACGCTACCGCTTGTAAGTATTTTCCTTTGTGGTAGACCTTCTTGTTTGTTAAAGTGTAAGTGTTAAAGAACAATGTCGCTAACATCTGCTCTGCTCAAAATTGACTGCTGAGTCCTCCCACAAAATATTGTTACATCACTTTTCAGTGTATCGTGTGAAGCACTTTGAGATAACTTGACAACTCGATGATTATTCAAGGATTATTATTATTATTATAATGTATATCGATTGGGTTTTCAAGTGGAAGATTTTCTCCATTTAAAAGGAATGTAATCTGAGCTGGGTAAAGAAATGTTGTGCTAACTACTTATCGCACACAATTGGTATTTTCCCAAATGGAAGAAAACTCCACATTGAAACCTGCCATATTGAAGTGTTTCACCAATGGGGCAATTTATGATCTTCACAAATCTTGAAGGTGTCCAGATGTACCAGTGGACCAAATGTTGTGCAACTTTCTCCAATTGTGCTGGCCAACAATACTCCAGATAAAATTAGTCATTCACTTCATCACTGTCTGTGGGACTTTGTTGTGTGCAAATTGACTGTTGTGTTTGTCTACAAATACAGTCACTACACATCAAAATAAGATTCCATTAAGTACTTTGAGACATTCCAATGACCTAATAAGGCTCTATTGCAAAATGATTATCATTGTGTTAAAGTCAGATTGTATGTGTAGGGGGCTGGAGGGGAGTGGTTAGAGTGACACCCATATATAGTCAATAATTTAAGAATACAATTTCAACATCACTCTTTATTTTTGCCCTTATATTGCACAATACCTGAGCCAAAGATCTCCAGCAAATGTCCATACAAAGAATGCAGGCACTGGCTTGCTTTACAATCCCTGCCCTGCCCACCATCGGTGATCGAGTTTTCAGATTATCTGCCCCACACTCTGAAACTCCATCCCAGAGTCCTTCCATCTCGCCCCTTCCCTAGCCTCCTCAAGATGCCTCTCAAGGACCTTCTTCCTTGACCACCCTTCAGTCATCTTTCCCGCACCACTCCCACCTCCATTGGGCTCCATCCCTGACCCGATCCCAAAGGTGCTATATAAATGCAATTTGGTATTGGTGTTGTTGTTAACTTGGGTTCTCCATTCACTTGTGCATCACCCAAACCTCAGCATTTGAAGAGTTAAAAGCTTGCAGTAAAGATTACACTTCGGAGGGTGGGAACAAAAAAACATTATCCGGTGTTGTCCATTATTTTTACTTACAGTTACACAGTAATCCAAATGAGTACTTAAGATACGGGCAGGCCAGACAGGCACTGGGAGCTGTGTCTTATGAATCAATAGCACAATGAAAAGAACCTTGGTGAAAGCTTAGGCTTGTGAGTTTCCAGTTACCTGGAATGAACTGGGAATAAGATGGAATCACCATCTCTGGTTCTGGTTTTGCTTCTTGGACAAAAAAAAGTTTTACTACTAAAGTTACTTTTGTTCAGAAATGTCACCAAGTCTTTATCTATAAGAACAATTTGTCTTCAATTTTAAGATGGCGCTTGATTGTGGAAAAAAATTCAGGAAACCGTTTTCGTTTTAAGAACTATGAAAAACTGATTGCCAGATTAAGAATAAATTTGAAGAATTTTCCAATATCTTGCATAATCTTGGTTATTCACATCATTTGTGGGACATTGCTGTGTGCAAATTGACTATTGCCATAACTTTATAGATAAACAGTCACTCAGTCTTACAGTAAATCCTGTGAAGCACTTTGACATGTTTCAACAACTTGATAAGGCACTATATCAAATTCAAGGGGTGTTATCTAAAATTGTTAGAAAAAAATGATCAGAATAGACAAAGACTGAGTGTAATTTCAGATCTTTAATGAGGTTCGATGTTTTGATAGCACAATTGATTTTCATAAAACTTTCATTTAAACCACTTTAATAATAGTAACCTTGAAAGAGAACTCAGGCCTGCTGATTACCGGGAAGTAACAAGATACGTTGAAATCATTATAGACAAAATATAGGGGAAATAATGAAGAGTACAAGTATCCCAGAAAACATCAGACAGGGGGAATGGGGAATGGGGCCTGCAGAAAAACAAATAATATTAATGTAATTGGTAGAGTAAAGGAGAGAAGAGGTGAGCAGAATTTAAATACGCAGGGAAGAGATGTGAGTAAAATGCAAAAAAGGAGGTATGATTGAACAATAACAAGAAGGCCTGAAAAGAAAGGAATCTGTTACATGATCTGTACTGCAACACACAGAGCACGTGGAACATAATGGGAGAGCTGGAGGTGGTAATGAAAAGTGAGGAATTGGATGTAAATGCATTAACAGAAACATGGTCACAACTTGGACATGATTGGCAATTAAATCTTGCAGGATACAATATATTTAGAAAGAACAGAGAGAGGAAAAGGGGACGTGAGGTAGCAGTGTTGGTAAGAGAAGCTAAAATCGCACTGGAAAGGATATAAATAATTGAGGGAGTAGAGACAGAATCCATCTGGCTGGAGATAAAGGATAAAAAAGAACTAGCCACATTGTAGGGTATGTACTTTCAATGGCAGATAAGACATAGAAGAAGAAATATACAGGCAGATAAGGGAGATAAGCAAAAATAAAGTAATAATTATGGAGGATTTCAATTATACCCAGATATATTGGCAGAGAGAGGGGGTAGGAAGTGAGAAGGAGATGGGGTTTTGCAATGTGTGGAGGACTTTTTTCTGTCCCAATGTGCAGAAACTTCAACAAGAGAAGCGCTGCTCAATATAGTAGGCAATGAGCCAGAGCAGGTCAGGGATTTCAATGTGGGGAGCACCTCAGGGGTAGCGACTATAAGATAATAAGGTTAAAAATTCTGATAAAAAAGAATATAGACAAGTAAAGGACCAAGATCTTTGATTGAAATAAAAGCTAAATATAATGGTATGAGGAATTAATTGCCTGAGGTAGACAGGGAGGGGAAAATCGGCAAACAACAATGTTGAGCAGCAATGGAAGATTTTTAACCATGTGATAGAAAAGATACAGAAGAAATACATTCCTTTCGCAAATAAGGGGAAATTAACTAATAATGTGATGGCATGGATAAATAAGGAAGTGAAGATAACTGCGGCTAATGAAATTTTTTAAAAAAATACAGAATGGAAAGGGAAACAGGAGTGAATACAGGCAAACCTAGGAAGGAAGTTAAGAAGACAATTAGGAAGGCAAAGCGGAATCATGAGGAGATCAATTCTGGTCTCCACACTGTAGGAAGAATATAGAAGCAATGGAAAGAGTACAGTGTAGGTTTACAGAGATAATACGAGGGCTGGCAGGTTACTGTAATCAGAATAGACTGGATAGATTGGGCCTTTTTTCCGTAGACAAGAGACGATTAAAGGGGAGACCTAACAGAAGTGTTTAAAATGATTAAAGGTTTCGATAAGATTAACATAAATAGGCTGTTTCCACTGGTTAGGGAATCCATATCCATGGGACACAAATATAAAATGGTGACTACATAATTCAGGAAGAAATACTTCATGCAGAGGGTAATGAGATTGTGGAACTTGCTGCCTGAAGCGGTGGTTGAATCAGTTAGTATAGATGCATTCAAGAGGAAGCTAGATCTTCACAAGAGAGAGGGGAAAGCAGAAGGGTATGGAAGGGGGTAAAGGAATCGGGGGAGATTTATGTGGAGTTTAAACACTAGCAGAGACTGGTTGGCCTGTTTCCTTGTTGGATATTCTTTACAAATCTTTGTAAATTTCTGCAGTAATGTTCACATTAGGAATCATGTTTTAAAGAGCTTCACAGGATTTACTGTAAAGTGCAATGACTGTATATTTTGCATGCGGAATGTTTTGAAAATGCTTACATCAGTCCTAATTTAGCAGTCAGTTTCTCTGCATTCTTAATTCAACTAAGATTAAATTTAAGAATGTTTCAAAATGCCACACAATCTTAAATTTGAAGTCAATAATGGATTGAAGCCTCGGGTGTTTCCTAAGGCATTGACTGCTCAAGTAAAGGAAATAATTCAAAGTAAATTTAAAGAATAAATTCAAAGAATAAAAGCTATAGGCCAGTCAATTTAAAAAAAACTTCCCCTTCGGGAAAGTACTTTCAAATGTAAAGCATTGCCTTAGTTAACATATCAATCTTTAAGCTCCCTGGTGAAATAGCTCTGACATTTCATTGCCCTTTTGCAGTCCCACAAAGACCCAACATTTCAGCCGTGACATGCAATAAAAACGTGTTCAAAGCACCTCAATGGTGAGCTCAGGCTCCATGCAATCAACAGAGATCAGCATTCTATTCAGTGCTGGATATTCATCTTGAGCTATTGGTGAAACAAGGCAGATTCCTGTGGAGTATTCCTGACCATTACTCCAGTTCACACATTATTAAAGCAGACTAGGAACTACAGTAAACGTATTTCACATCTTGTCCTTTCTAAACTGAAAAAGTGATAATATGATTATTAAAATTAACGGATACTGCTTTAAAAGTGAAGCAGTTTGAGACATCTCAACGACATGATAATTCACGATATATATAGGCTATTATTATTATAAAAGACTCAAATTGACTCAAAACTCAGAACTGTTCTTTGGACACTTTGTTACTTGGTGATCACTCCTAAAGTGAGACATGGCATTATATCAAATACAAACATTTGATTTTTTTTAAGACGTAACAATTGAAGCAAAATCATTTACATCATTCAAAAGGGAATTAGCTCTAAATGCTTGCATATTACTTAGAAAATAATGCAGGTTATGGGGAAGGGCAGCAACACGAGATCACAGTGGATAGTGCAGTGGGCAATGGAGGGCCATGTAACATGGCACAGGGAGCATAGATCAAATGGCTTCTCTCTGTGCTGTGAGATTTCTGATAAAATTAATGTTCTTTTTTGAAACAAAAGTTTGGATCTATTCCTAGGAATAATGAATGGGTATTTCCCTTCACCTCGCTGGTTACAAACAATGTTGAGCTACATTTTTTACAGCTAACCCCAAAGGAAATTAGCACAATAGCAAGCTAATCAGACATGGGCTTGAAATAGATTTAAAGACAGTGTCTATTTGCTCAAAGAAGATTTGGTAGTCAATAATCTAGTTACGTTAAATTGCAGTTATAATGTAATGTGATGTTGGAGAGAGAGCATGAATACAGAGCACATTGTGCCTCGCTCCCTCCCTTGTCTCCTTCAAAACCCATCTCAAGACTCTCCTCTTTGACCACGCTTTTGGTCAACCTCCTACCCTCATCCTCCTTGCCCTCCATCACTCCTGACCCCAACCCCCAGCTAGGGTCCAAATCCCCGACTGTCCAGCCCTTTGGGACGTCCTCCCAACATGAAAACCACGACACAAATCTAATTTGTTGTTGTTTTTGTTGTTTGCGCTCAGTTTGTATTTGCCACTATCTGGATTGTTTGTCCAACAGGTCCGAGAAGTGACCAACAGGATTCTGCATGCATCCAACGAGGCTGTAAGAGAAGATACTCTATATTCTCATATCATGGTGGAGTGGGGGCAGTATATTGTCCATGATTTTGCATTCACACCCCAGAGCAGTAGTCAAGCTGCCTTCCTGGGAGGAATAGACTGCCAGAGCACATGCAACAACCTGAGCCCCTGCTTTCCAATCAAGGTGCATGGCTTTGTGACTTTTTTTGGGGGGGCTGAGTGATGCTAAATATGAGTTTAGAGCTAAGTGAGCAAATGGGGGAGAATTTTTTTCTTGCACAAACTGGTTGGAATATAGAATACCTATCATACCTATCACGGTGGTTGATGCACAATCCATATTAGCTTTTAGAAGTAAACTAGATAGATATCCAAAAATGAGTAAATTACCTGGATATCGGTAAAGGGCAGGTAAATGGGACTGAAAGGATTGCTCTTTAAAAGAGCCAGCCCAGACACGATGGGCCGAATGACCTCCTTCTGTGCTGTGAATGTCTATAGTTCTAACTGACACGTGAGCTGTTTAGGATTCTTAACTTTAGTGAACACTCATCAGTTACGTTTTAGATAAATTAGTAGTTTTAGGGATAAGCATGGATCTGGCTTAACCTTAGTGTCCTCGCTTAAACCTTTTACAGGTACAAAGCAGTTTGTTTCAAAAGCTCCAATATGGACTGAAGAAAGTTATCTTGTCAGAGTTCAACATATTTATGTTCAAAGGCAAAATTGTTTCAGCTCTTCCCTGAAATTGCATTGCAGCTAATGCCTGCTCCTACTACAACTGTCCATTCCCAAGAGAGCTACAGTTCAGAAATATTAATACAGTAAAGCAATAGCAGAAGCTGTTGATTTTGTACCACACACACATATGTCCAAACAAAACAATCTGTAACTTTAATTGGTCTCTGACCCAGATGATCTTCCAACCCAGGTTTGCATTCAACCCCTTCATTTCTTTTCAGGCTAAGATTACGTGGGTTAGTGAGTTGGTTTTAAAGTTCGGTTTTACTGCCAATATTATGGGGTAAAGTTTGAGTATTCTGTAAGATGTTTCTTGTGTTAATCAGTGCAAGTAAGATTTTTAAAGAATACCACAAAGTTTCCCACTGCTAACATCTTATGATTTTGCTGAAGAGTAAGGGTGGGTATTACATCCCTAGGAACTGGACTGAGACCGCTTCAACCCATTTTACATAGGATTCATATAGCCAATAAAGAAAGGAGATTAAATAACTTGTTCCCACCGTCTGGACTGGATTCACACCAAGGCCCAGTAAGGGAAAGGTCAGTGTTTGAATCCTATTTCCACACAAAATCGTGTCAATTTTTCAATTTTATTAAACAGATCCCTCGGAGTGATCCCCGGGTTACAAGCAATGGCTGCATCACCTTTTATCGCTCCGCTCCTATTTGTGGTTCAGGAGAACAAGACTTTGAAACCGCTTCCGGTCTCAACCCTCGACAACAAATCAATGCATTAACTTCCTTCATTGATGCCTCAACTGTCTATGGCAGCACCCCAGCTCATGAAGTAAGGCTGAGAAATTATACAAGCCAGGAGGGCCTCCTACTTACTAACACAAGATACCTAGATGGTGGCTATGCACTCTTACCTTTCGTGGACCAGGTACAATCACCATGTGTGCAAGAACCTAATGCGCCAAAGGGTGAACGGGTGGAATGTTTCCTAGCAGGTGAAAGCAGAGCAAATGAAATACTCACTCTTGTTTCAATGCACACGCTCTGGATGCGTGAGCATAACCGTTTAGCAAAGGCCTTGCATGGGATAAACCCTCACTGGAATTCAGAAACCGTGTACCAGGAGGCGCGGAAAATTGTTGGTGCTCTGCATCAGGTTAGTGGATGGTATAATTGTTGCTCCTTCATAAAATGGTAACCAGGGAAAAATCTGTGGACATGTTGGATCAGATAACGTAGAATATAAGCAGGCTATCTATTTTATTTGGGCTTTACTTTATTTCACTTGGATTGAAAACGTGGATAAAGTACAAACCTATCAAACTTCACATAAGACTCAAGATTAGAATTGTTTTCCCCACACAATGGATAAATCAAACAGTCTCTCAGCAAAAACAAATGATGCTGAGTCAATTATTTCCTAAAAAAAAATGAAATAAATATCTGGTTAGCAATTGATTGGACTAAAGAGCTACAATGATACAAGCTTATCAAAAACTGCTTGCAATATGGTGCTTCCTGTGCTGCTGCTGCTGCTTTGGGAATGTCATCTGTAGAAAGCATCTGGCCAGATGTGAACAATGGAGTAGAGATAGATAATATATATTTATATTTTCCTTGGCAAGCAGGGACATTTTTTGAGACATTCTGTTCGGCAAATAAATTTGTAGAATCTGTAAAAGTTTAATTTGTACAACAATGCAATTCAATACAAAATTACATTTGTATTGCGCCTTTCAAGTCGGGAGGACGTCCCAAGGCGTTGGGCATTGACGACCTCAGCACAGATGGGATGCTGAATTTTGGTCCTCATGTTCTGTATGATGGCAGATCCGCACTGGGTTGAGTTAAGGCAGTGCCCCAAGAAGCAACATTGAAATGTTACGTTTCACAGTTAGCAAAGGAAATGTTTTAAATGGCTTCAAGGATTATCCTGAATTTGGTGGTGGAGGAGGGGATGTTGATACCCTTGTCCAGCCTTCATGAATCAACTGGAATGTGTGCTGTCTATTAACCAATTTGGTAACGTGCCTCTCGTCTGTATAGAAAAATCACAATTTTTACCCTGCATATGGGTGTAGCAACTGTTGTCATATCATTGATTGCATCTGCTCCTACCAGTCTTTTTAACAGAGTTTAAAATAGGACAACCTGAAATATAATGCAAAGTAACGTGAACTAAATCTTCGAAGACAGAGCATTAGTGATAATTTTGGGACAGACTGTTCCAGTTCTTGATAACTCCATAATGGAATCCTAAAACCCTTTATTTCCCAGCAGACAGAACTGCAGCCTTGTCCATTTAGTGCATTAGTTGAAAGCACACTGGCTCTCCAAGTACAGCAATTGTATTCAAGCTGTTCGAAATAATAAAAGAAACGTCTATGGCTGATGCTTTTAGCTTCACTGAACTAAGAATGCGATACTTATCTATATCTATGTTATTGACAAGGCGAAACCTTAGGCAAGTTTCTTTACTCCACATGCCTCTTTTTACCTAGCAGTATGTAGGAACCAGGTTCTTAGTCGATTGGTGTAATTTGGTCACTCAATCCATTACTGTTTGTGGGAAACTGCTATATGTTTTTAGCTGCTGCGTTTCACCCACAAGATATACAGTGAATCCTTTTTACTGTATAGTCTGTGAAGCTCTTTGAGACATCTCAACAGCATGATAAGGCGCTATATCAAATGCAAGGATTATGATTATTATTATTTAATACAAGTAACACATTATTAAACAATGCAAACCTTATCCCACTAATCTTGGTTAATTGATTGCTAAGATAATCACTCTTTTTTTACTTTGTTACAGATTATTACAATGAGAGACTACGTTCCTAAAATCCTTGGTCCCAGGGCTTTTAATCAGTTTATAGGAGCCTATAGTGGATATGATAAAACTCTGAACCCTGCAGTGTCCAATGTGTTTGCTACTGCAGCATTTCGATTTGGCCATGCTACTATAAGCCCTAAGCTACAAAGACTTGATAAAAATTACCAGGAGCATCCCAATTACCCAAGTCTAAATCTGCACGAAGCTTTTTTCAGTCCCTGGAGAATCATTAAAGAAGGTGAGTGTCATGAGCCAGCAAGTTAACACAGAAAATATAAGTGAAGCAGTTTTAAGGGGCTGTGTAATGGCTCACAATTCTTGTTGTATTTTACAGGAGGTTTAGACCCCTTGTTCAGAGGACTTCTGGCAAGGCCAGCGAAACTGCAAACTCAGGATCAAATGGTGACTGAAGAACTGACAGAGAAACTATTTGCGCTGACCAATGCTGTAGCCCTTGACCTGGCCTCACTCAATCTGCAGCGAGGGCGTGATCATGGCCTTCCTGGTACCTTGAACTCCTGATTCAATAGGTGTTGTCTACAAAAAGGATTAAAGGAGAGGAAATTGCAATACGCATTGTAATTATCATCAGAGAAGATAATTTAGTTACAGAAAATTCTACCCTGTCGACATTGTGGAGTTCTGTAGCTCAGTGGTTAGAGTACTCGGCTTGAAAGCAAGAGACCTGGGTTCAATTCCTGGCAGGGCGAATCTTTGGGCAAGTTTCCTTACTCCACGCGCCTCTGTTTACGTAAGAGTAAGTAGAGCACTGGTTTTAGTCGAATGGAGGATCGCTTTTCCAGGGGTAATAATTCTCTTCAAATAATAATAATAATTTAAATTGGTCGCTCAATCCACGACTCTTTGTGGGACCCTGCTGTACGCAATTGGTTGCAGCATTTTACCCACAAAATATACGATCAATTCACTTTACAGTATATTCTATGAAGTGCTTTGAGACATCTCGAAGACGCGATAATCCGTTATATCAAATGCAAGGATTATTATTATTCATCAGGTTGGCACATGCAACAGCAGCCAAAGTAGGCTTTAGACCAAACAGCTACAGTATTGCAATATAATTTGATAGGAAAAGGTCACATCTTGGCTGTCATGTTTGGCCCACAAAATACACAGTCACTACACTTTACAGTGTATTCTTCGAAGCACTTTGAGATGTCTCAAAATGTGATAAGGCACTATATCAAATCCAAGAATTATTATCTGTAGCCAGACATCAACAGGTAGTATGTTTCTGTAATATAATGCAATCACACCAAATATCACAATTTTCAGATCAAAGAAACATGATTCTGATTCTATGTTGATGTGATTAAATTAATGAGTCTACATCTACATGTCTACATTGATCTATCTCTGTTGATGTATGTTAAAGTTTTTATGTTGATGTGTCTATGGTGGTGTGTCTGTGTTAATGTGTTTGTCCTGGTGGGTCTATATTATTGGCCTGTGTTAATGTGCCTGTGTTAATGTGTCTATGTTGATGTTCTATGTTCATGTGTTCATCTCAACAGGAATTGTTCAACAATCAATCTAATAAGCTTTAAAAAAAAACATTTTTTACAAATTGAATACATTTTTAAAGAAAAGTCTATGAACTGGTGTGACATTTGGTTCTTTTTATGATTAATGACAACTCAAGGCATTTATTCATTTTAAGTCATGCCATAAGTGATGATGCTGCAGGCAGAAAGGTAATCAATTACTTTTCTTATTAAAATAGTTTGGATTCAGTGACCAAAATAACCCAGGTCACCTCTAATAACTGTTAAGAGTCGCTAGAAAAATTGAATGTGTCAGTCTCACTGTGGAATCTATTTCAGAAAAATCATCAGGGAAATCCTAGCCCTAATTTGTTAACTTCAACTTAGACTGGCCAGAGCCTAATATGAACTGAAAAGAATCTAAAATAAACTGCCAAGTTGTAAAGCAATCATCATAATAATATGCATAATAAAGAATAGTCAGCATGGATTTCAAAAAGGAAGGTCAAGCTTGACCAACCTCATTGAATTCTTTGAATAGAAAGAGTAAACAAGGGTAATGGGGTAGATGTAATATATTTAGATTTCTAAAAGTCGTTCAATAAGGTACCATATAATAGACTAATGAATACGATCAGAGCGTGTGGCGTCAGGGGAAAAATAGCAGAATGGATAGCAAACTGGCTACAAAACAGAATACAGAGAGTAAGGGTAAAGGGCAGCTACTCAGACTGGCAGGGGATGGGCAGTGGTGTTCCACAAGGATTGGTATTGGGACCACTGTTGTACACAATATATATCAATGATTTGGACTCTGGAATCAGCAGTACAATTTCAAAATTTGCAGACGACACCAAATTGGGGGGAGTAGTTAATGCAGAGGAGGATTGCAACAAATTACAGCAAGACATTAATAAATATGCTGAGTGGGCATTTAAATGGCAAATGCATTTCAATGTAGAAAAGTGTGAGGTGGTACATTTTGTTAGAAGGAATAAGGAAGTCACATACACCCTGGAAAATAAAAACCTAAATGGGGTAGAAGAGCAAAGTGATCTAGGGGTACACATACACAATTCAAGAAAAGTAGCAACTTAGCTTAATAAGGCCATAAAAAAGGCAAACCAGGCATTGGGGTTCATTTCTAGAGGGATAGAAATGAAAAGCGGGGAAGTTATGGTAAACTTCTATAGAACCTTGGTTAGACCACACTTAGATACTGTGTGCAGTTCCGGTCCCCACATTATAGAAGGGATGTAGAGGCACTGGAGAGGGTGCAAAGGAGATTCACAAGGATGATCCCAGAGCTGAGAGGTTACACTTGGACTCTTTTCACTTGAGACCAAAACCAAGGGCCATCAATATAAAATAGTCACAAAAAGATCAAATAGGGAAGTTAGAAGAAATTTATTTACACAGAGCGTAGTGGGAATGTGGAATATGCTACCACAAGGAGTTGTTCAGGCAAATAACAGAGATATATTTAAGGGAAGGCTAGGTAGGTACATGAGGGAGAAAGGAATAGAAGGTTATGCTTGAAGGCTTAGTTGAGGAAGGGCAAGAGGAGGCTCATGTGGAGCATAAACACCGGCATAGACCAATTGGGCCGGATGGTCTGTTTCTGTGCTGTATATTCTAATGTATGTCCATCCAAATATAGCGTAGAACTGGAATACAGTATAGAGTGAATATAGAATATAGTATATAAGAAGTCTTAGACCTCAGTCAGTTTTACTTGTACTCAACCCCAATTGAAGACTAGGAGCTCTGAGTTGGGAAATGGTAAAAGGAAGAGAGGGAGATGGTGCAAGAAAGATAATGAAGGGAAGAAAACAAAAGGAAAGAATGATTGGGAAGTCAATAAAATAAAATAATTAATACTTCCCATTATCCTAGAGCCTAAACTTGAGAATCATCCCAAAGTGTTTCCCACAATAAGAGCTAATGTGTGATGATCTTTTCCACTAAATATCATAGGAAATACAACAAGTAAACGTGTATCCATTACTAAACAACACAGAAGAATTGACCAAAGTACTATGATCTGTGAACAACAACAAATAGTATTTATATAACAAGATACCAATTGCCAAGCAGGAAAGCCTCTGTCTTATGGATATTCAACCGGAGAAATTAGCTCTGATCCAGGACTTGATGTCCAACAGGCAATTGGTTAGAGGAGCAGTGGTCCTGGAATCGAGGGTGGTGGCAGAGAGATACAGTTGGGTGTCAACCACATACAACCCATGTTTCCAAATTTATAATAATAAATAATCCTTGCATTTGACATAGCGCCTTATCACGTCATTGAGACGTACTCAAAGCGCTTCACAGGATACACTGTAAGGTGTAGGACTGTGTACTTTGTGGGCGAAACTCATGGCAATTGTGCATGACAAGGTCCCATAAACAGTTGTGGAGTGAGTGACCAAATTTTTTTTTGCATGTGGTAGGATTATTATCCCCAGAAAGCGATCCGCCAATTGACTAACAGCAGGTTCCTACTTACTGCTAGGTAAACAGAAGGGTGTGTGTGGAATAAGGTAACTTGCCTAAGGTTTCACCCTGCAGGCTTATAACCAGCCAATTCTCTTTTTTTTCCCAGGATACAATGACTGGAGGGAGTTTTGTGGATTGGAAAGATTGGAAACTAAAATGAATTTAAGTGAAGCAATCTCTGATTTAGATTTAGTTGAAAAGATTATGGATGTCTATAAGTATCCAGACAATATCGATGTCTGGCTTGGCAGTTTAGCAGAAGATTTTCTCCCTGGAGCTAGAATCGGACCATTGTTTGGCTGTTTAATTGGAAAACAAATGAAAGCTTTGAGAGAAGGTGATAGGTAAGTTTTACGTATATTGTTTTTGCCATCCCAATTGAGTTATGGTCACAGGCTGCTAATACTTGCTATTACTGCAGATTTATCAGACACTTTGAAGCAAATCTATTTGCCAGATTACCAATTTCTCTTGCTGGGAACTGAATCAAAACACGCAATTCCTCTGTATTATTTGTGTGGCCTTTTGTCTCCCAATTGGCAATTAGAGTGATTCTAAGATACGCAGTTACTTTCAATTTATGGGGCTGTGGGACAGCATGTTGCTAGTAGGTTGGCCTGCAAAATGGAAAGCAGTGAAATCGAATTGTTTTTACCACTGTTCTCGCCGTCAGCTCCTTGATGCCAAGGACATGCACTAGTAGCATTTGCATCATTCTACATTAACTTATGTCAAGCAAGGATGCAGAAGTCCGCAAGTCTTACAAAAATAACACTGACGCATATTTCTAATAAAATATTTAGTGAGAAAATGGACCTTTTGATTCCATTGCATATTTATTAATAACCCAACCTTAGTAATAGTAAAGTATATTGTGCAGGCTTGGGAATGGATTTATAGCATGACTGAATGTCAGATGTTTCAAGCTGTTAAACTGGAAATGAAGTAAAGCAATGCATCCTTTTGACTACAAGGAATACTTTATCCATTAACCCACAAAAGTGACCTTGAAAATCAACCAGACATGTAAGGTCAGTGCAGAGGGACTTTGAAACTATATTTTCTCTATCGCTGAGTGCTCTGGAATTATTGGAAAATAATTCTAAATGACACGCGTTTTAACCTGCTGCCATAGTTATCATTCTGCAGCAGAAGGTTGCAAGTCCTGTGAAATTGACGAAGTAACGACAATAAGCTAAATCAGCAAAGCTCTATCCATTATCAGAGCAAGGTCAAGGAAACCACAACTTTTTTGTATACTCTCTTGGGGTTAGCTGGTGGATGATATTGAGTTAGGCTCTTGCAACCCATGAAAAATGTTGAGTTGTTGTGTAATGTGCAAATATATGCATTGAAAACACAGTAAATAATAATAGAAATCCTTGCATTTGATATAGCGCCTTATCATATTGTAGAGATGTCTCAAGTGCTTCACAAAATATACTGCAAAGTGAAGTGACTGTATATTTTGTGGGCAAAACGCAGCAGCCAATTGTGCACAGCAGTGTCTCACAAACAGTGGTGGATTGAGTGACCCAATCATTTATTTATTTATTTTTAAATAAGATGAAATTATGATTTTTACAGTGTTTTAATTGTTAAAATGCAACAAAAAATTACATTTATATAATGCCTTTCATACGGACAATTATCCCAAGGTGTGTGAGTATGTGTGTGTGTGTGTGGGAGGGTTGGGTAGGTGGCGGGGGAGTAAGGGGGGGAGGTGGCCAAAGACACAATGAAAAGAATAGGTCACACAGTGGGGAAGAGGGTAAAAAAATAGCTGAACCAGATGCAAAGAAAGTAAGTGAGATCTCTGAATGCTCCAAGGCTACATGCTTGGCAAAGGAATGTTGGTATCAAGTTAACCCTCTGTGGCAGTCCCAGTAGTCCAGTTACTGAGCCAGGTAGGTACGCAGTACTGCAGGGCAATACTAATGACAGACCAGCCAGCCTGGTTCATCAGCAAGACTTGGAAGAACAAGCCAGGCCACTGAGGATGGGGATTTTTCTCACTCAGCTTCAATTAACCCTGCAAGCCAAAGCCCTAATGGGTTGAGTGATTCTTGCTTGACAAATAGCGGGGATGTTTGCCAGACAATGCTTTCAATGGTAAACTATGTGTTTTTAGCTGGTTAAGCAGCAGTACCCAACCTGCACCTAATAAATTCTGGAATTAGATAAGCAGGGTGTGTCCCTCTAGGGAGAGAGTGTGAATATTAATTTGTAGGTGGCAAGCAAACTCTCAATCTGGTTTGAATACACTTAAGTATGGTGATTGCTTTCCACATGTGTCAGACTCACGACTGAGTAAATCTAGAACCACGTGGAATTGCTTGTGGGTTATTTTTCGGTGAGACAGAGCCACTGAAAAAAATTAATACATTAGTTATTAAAAGAGTCAAATGTGATTTTTTAAAAAATTAATTGAAGACTTCTTACGGTTGCTTTAACTTATTGCAACATATTGCATTAACATGATGAATAACTATTTGAGCTTTAATGTGATTTAATATCCTGAAGTAGTAAACAAGGAAAAGCGAAACAAAGACTGATATTTGAAAGTTAAAGGTACATTTAGAAGCAGCAAGCCGATCAAATGTTGAAGAGGAGGAAAGTAGTGGTATATGTGCAGAATAATAATGAACCTTACACTTGATATAGTGCCTTTACGTTGGGAGGATGTCTCAAAGCATTTCACAGGATTTTAGTGCAAAGTGTATTTTGTACATTAACACTCTAAGACATTACCTCACTATAATGAAGGGTGCAATATTGTTGTTGTTGTTGATTGTGGCAGCCAAATTTGTGCTCAGCAGTGTCTCACAAACAGCCATGAAGTGAATGACCAGTTTTTTTCCAGGGATTGTTGGCCAGGAGATAATCCTTTCTCTTTTTGAACAGTAACATGGTATCTTTATTAATCCAGCAAAAGTATTTGGAGTTCATACAAAATGTATTGTTGAAAGTGAACAGAAAGTCAGTCAGGTGTAGAATCACTGGAGACTGGTAGGAGCAATGATAAAAGAATATACTGCAGGACTGAAGATGCCTTAGTGAGTAATGGATGTGTGAAGGAACTGGATATTCTTAGTCAATCGATATCTGTGGAGATTTGTTGAAAAAGTCCTGAAACAGCACAAAGCTACTTCCATTGAAAAAAGCCTGCAACATTAAACAACAATTTAGATTTATGTAGCATTTTTCACATCAGGAAGATGTGTAAGAATGCCGCACACATTTTTTGAGGAGAAATAGCTATTACCTCCCACTGACTTAAGAAATTTGAACTCTGTTTTGAGAACTCATCAGAGGCAAAGTTTGTGAGTCAAATCCCAAGGTAGATTTCACCAGAGCATAATTCCCATTGGTTATTGTGAAATATGTCTGGTTGCAGAAAAGGAGTCTTGATTTCACAAGATCATGAAATTGGTTTGGATAAAGAATCTTATTCCTCCAGAATGCCACCCTATCATCCTCCCATCACAGCATCAAGCTGATTTTTAAATGAGTCTAATATACTGCCTTCAACCGTCCTTCTGGCTACCTGTTCCAGTCGTTAATTGCCGCCTGAGTAAAGAAAAACATGCTGGTGTCTGTCCTGAAATTGCTTTTTGCAACTCTAAAGCTGCGTCCTCCTGTTCTGCTGTCCTGGTGAATTGCTCTGGTTTTACTTTTTGAATCCCATTTAAAATTTTATGTACTTCTATGAGGTCCCCTCTGATCAGCTTCTCTGAAGACTGAAGGGCCCTAACTTGTCTAATCACTGCTCATAGCTCAGCTAGCATGATTCATACTTGTTATAAAGGAATCGTGTCAGGAAACAAATTAATAATAATGTTAATCCTTGCATTTGATATGGCACCTTATCACGTCGTTGAGAAGTCTCAAAGCGCTTCACAGAATATATTGCAACGTGTGTATTTTGTGAGTGAAATTAGACTCCATGATAACAAATTTTCTTCCGTGTTGTCCAGGTTTTGGTGGGAAAGTCCTGGTATCTTCACATCAGCCCAAAGACATGAACTTTTGAAGCATTCGCTGTCCCGTGTCATTTGCGATAACACTGGAATTACTGAAGTACCATTGGATGCTTTTCAATTGGGGCAGTTCCCACAAGATTTTGTACCATGCAATCAAGTTAACAAACTAAATCATCAGGCCTGGCGTGAAAATCTCAAACAAGGTGCAAAAGATTCTCCAACATTACTACTGTCTTCTCAATGTTAAGTATTATTTGACTGATTGCAATCTTTGCTTCATAATGGAAACAGAGTCCATAAATTGTTTCAAAAAGAGAATTTACAGAGATTTACAGAATGGAAACAGGCCATTCGGCCCAACTATTCATGTATACTCCACATGAGTCTCCACACACTCCTTACTTCCTCTCAGGCCCTTCTATTTCCTTCCCCCTGATGTATATATGTAGCTTCTTAAACACTTCATCTTAAATGTTTCAACCACCAAATTAAAATAGATGCTTGAAAAAAAAAAGAATTGCTAAAGCTTTGAGGGAGAGAGTAGGGGAATGGGATTAGGCTAGATGGGTTATCTGGAACTGCGGCAGACTACATGACCTGTGATGTAGCGCTGTTATATTTTATGATTAAAAAGATAAATTGGTGATCAAAGCAGTTATTAAGTTTAATTAACATTTTCATGACAGACACACAAATATTTTCTTCCCCAATGATTTGAACCCATTGCTGTCAAGGTATGAAAAATGTTCAAAGATGTCCAAACCATTTAAGGGTTTCTATCAACAAAATGTTAACAACTATTCTTGAGAGCAGAAATCATAATGCCCTAAGACTAAAATTTAGTTTAAAATAAGAATTTTCTCTCTTTCAGTTTTATCACATGTTAAATAATCTTCTGACTCTAACTGTGTTTCATGTGGAACTATAATCATCATTCATATAAAAGCAAACCATTCAAATGTGATTTAGGAGATTTAGAAGCTCTAGGGCAGAAGTACAGAAAGGATTCTACATCTTCCTGTCTAAAATCTGACGCCAGTTAAGAATTAGAAACTCATATTGAATGATTCTGCCTCTCACCTGATAATGATAATAATATTAATAATCCTTACATTTGATATAGCGCCTATCACTTCTTCAAGATGTCTCAAAAAGTGCCTAAATCTACCAGAATGGATGAATAGGGATTAATGAGTGCTGACAATGCTAATAAAACAGGGCAGACATTAACAAATGTACAGTAGTTTATCATTACACTTTTCCCACAGTTGGATTGTGTGGCCCCCCAAAACCAGTGGAGCATGGAGACTTTGTGCTGTGCAACACATCTGAACCATCCATCATTTCATACATCTGTCACCATGGTTTTCAACTGGTTGGACTGGAGGAGCTGATCTGCACAGTCAAGGGATGGAGCAGCGATCCACCAGTCTGCAAGGGTAAAGATTTTACATTTTACAGTGGTGTGTAAGGAAGGCTTAATCAATCACTGTATCACTTAAGCTCCTTGGATTCAGAAGCATTTCAATTAACTGCAAAGTACCTGTGTTTGCAAAACTCCACACTAATGCTTACTGTCCTCCACTCTTATTCATCTTCTTCCGACATTGAAGGAACTTGAACTGGAATAAATCTGCAGTGCTGTGCCTGCAGCTCACTCGTGGAATTGACATTGTGATTTATGTACAACCAGAATAGAAAAGATTCAAAAATATTAATATTCAACAAACTCGATCAAAGCCACATACAACCAACATGATTGAGCATCCTACTCTGATATATAAAGCTGCTGTTAATAATTGAGTTTTGCTTTTGATTTGATCAGTTTGTTATAGTTGTTGTAACTCCAGATATTGATGTATGATTTGCCTACAGAGTCCAACTAAAACAATCTACGTAGTCATGTTGGTAGAGACCTAATTTTCACATTTCTCCTTCTATCACTGAGGCAATTGACAAAAGTAAAGGCAAAGTTTACAAAATATGTAATCATATTTGATTTTGTAAAGATGTAGATCCATTAGAAAACAACAATAAATGAATAATAATATAATAATAATTGTTGCATTTGATACAACACCTTATCAACTCTTTGCAACACCTTATCAACTCTTTGCAACATCTCAAAGTGCTTCACAGGATACACTATAAAGTGTAGTGACTGTATTTTTCATGAGCGAAACCGGCAGCCAATTAGGCACAGCTGTGCCCCATTAAACAACCATGGATTGAGTGACCAAATTATTATTATTATTTTTCTAAGGGATTTTTACTCCGGAAAGTAATCTGCCAATCAAGTAACAAGTACGATCTTACTGCTAGTTAAGCAGAAGTGTGTGGAGTAAGGAAACTTGCCTAAGCTTTTGCTCTTTCAGGTCAGGAGGACATCCCAAAGTGCTGGGGAAGAGGGAGAGGAGGGGGAAAGGAGAGAAAGGAAGGGACAGCAGGGAAGGAGTGAGGCAATGAAAGGCGAGGAAAAGCGGCAGAGGAAGATATGTTTGAGAGACTGAGAAGGAAGAGAAAGAAAGTAAAAATAGGAATAGGTCAGTGTCATATATGACTGATGGTGATAGATGGAGCTGAAAGACAAAGTAAAGAATGTCAGGTACAGGGAATATACACAGATATTCAGGATGTGAGTGGTACCTCCCCAACCCCACCACCCCTCCACTCCCAAACCTGACTAAAGTAATCCCATCTTTTCCTGTACAATTAATTATTATTTTTTCTCAAGTGTTTATTCCAATTCTTGTTTAATTACCGTTATGGATTTAACTTCCAAAGCCATTTGTAGTGAAGCATTTCATGTCTACAAAACCATTGTGTGAACAAAAATTGTCTTCTAATCTATCCCTGTGAATGAAAGAGAAGAGTTAAGAATCCCATCAGCTCTTTTACAAACCTCACTGATAGAGAAAAGCTAGTAATCCGTGCTCAATGTATGCATATGAGTCTGCATATAGGGAATTTTGCTTTCCCTATTCAACAGCGTTTCTGCCTTTTGCTCAAAGGGATTCCCAGTAAGGTTCAACCACAGCATGACCTTCATATCAGTGACAAAAGTACAGTCAGTACTGCACTGTGATAGAGAATGTTAGTTTCTTTCTGCCTGTTTCTCACTCTCTGAGTTTATTTCAGTATATCTTCAGTATAGCTCTCAATATGTATCTCAATGTGTTTTAATCTTTCTGTATCTCAATACATCCTTATCTTTCTGTGAGCATTCTTTGTTTGTCTCTGTGTCTCTCTAGCCAGGTGTTAACATAGTTTAGTTTCCAGCATTCAAGCGCACAGCTTGTGAATTTGTGAATTCCAAACCCACTTCAGGACTTTAACTCATAGGCTAGGTTTACTTTCCAGTGCAGTGTTGCATTGTCGGAGGTGCTACATAGAGATCCCATCTTTCTGTCCTCTTGTGGATATTAAAGATTCATTTTGAAAGAGAAAGGTTTCTTCTGGCGTCCCTAGCCCTAGCCAAAAATCTTCCAAATTAATAGGGCAGCATTCAGCTCATGGCTGTTTGTGGGACTTTGTCATGTGGAAAATGATTGCCGTGTTTGCCTTTAAAAATCACTACACTTGACAATGATTAAAGTGCTTTAAGATGTTCCGATGAATAAGGTATAAATCCAAATTCTATCCTTTTCCCTTCTTTTGTATGTTTGCAATGGCTCAGTTGATTGCACTCTCAACCCTGAGTGGAATCAAGCCTCATGTCAGAACTTGGAACTCATATAGTCTGTGCTGATACTCCAGTGTCACTGGATGTGCTGCATTGTCAGAGATGCCCTTCCTTCAGATAGGAAGATAAGCCAAGGTCCAATCTGCCTATTCAGGTGAACATTAAAGATCACATGGCACTACTTGAAAAGAGAAAACAATTTCTCCTAATATCCTATTGATGGGAATTTACTGTGTGCAAATTGCAAGGATTATTATTTTTATTATGTTGTGTTTCTTTCTCTCCCTTTCTCTTTATTGTGCATATCATTTCAATCAAGGTACCTTATTATCCGCCTTCATGTTGCCAAATATATCTACAATACCTGTCTTCTGTACAGTCGAATCACCCACACAAGTGAATCTGATCAAGCTCCATCACTGCCACATTAAGTGTTGATGCTATTCCTACAGGACTCTGTTCTATCAGATAACAATGTAAATATGTTTGAAATGCCAGCATAAATTCCAGACTGTTACTTTGTATCACCCACATGGGAGGTTTTCAAACCAATTATTGATGTTATATTTGTTGCGGGACATGCTGTGGTATTTATATAGAAGAGTCTGCTTTGGAATGAGAGCTTTCAGGACTTTGTTATACAACAAAGTGAATAAATATTGTAGGTCTTTTCTTTTAAATGTTATTATTAACATATTTAATAATATGTTGAACCTTTTTGTTTTAATTTCTTCGACATATTTAATAATAACAGAAATGAATTATAATAATAATAAGGTTTCGCCCTTGGGCAAGTTTTCTTATTCCACACGCCTAATAATAAACCCTCAAGAAAAAAACAATAATAAAATTGGTAACTTCAATCCACGACTGTTTGTAGGACACTGCTGTGCGCAATTGGCTGCACTTCCAGGATATTTTCTAAGAGTAATTACTGTGCATTTTGAAGACGAACACTGCAGGAAATTTGTGCACAGCAAAGCCCAACCAACAGCCATGAAATGAATGACATGGATTCCCAGACCAGGGCCTGGATGAATGAAAACTTCCTGCAGCTAAATGTGGACAAGACAGAAGCCATACTCCTTGACTCCCATCAATGTCTTCACTCCTGTGGATCTGAACTCCTCAACCTCCCTGGACCTTCCCTCATACTTACCAATCAAAGCCCAATCTAGACCTTCGGTTCGATCCCCAGCTGTTCTTCCTTCCCCACATCCAGTCCCTGACCAGGGCCACCTTCTTCCACCTCCACTACATTGCTCGCCTCTGACCATAACTTACCCCAAACGCAACCGAAACCCTAGTGCAAGTGTTTGTCACCTCCCACCTGGATTACTCAAACGCATTCCTCGCCAGTCTCCCCAGCTCCACTATTCAAAAGATCCAGCTCATCCTGAACTCTGCTGCCCACATACTTACCCGGACCAAACTCCTTACTCACATCTCAGCAGTTCTGGCCTGGCTTCACTGGTTCCCCGTAACCGAACGAATCGACTAAAAGATCCTCACTCTCGTGTTCAAATCCCTTCACTTTCTTGGACCTCCCTACTTCTCCGATCTCCTCACTCCCCAATTCACTATCCGGTGCCTCTGCTCCACTGGCACTGGGTTCCAGCTTGTCACTCGCACCCTCCGCCCCACTATCGAAGGTCGTGCTTTCAGCCAATATGCCCCAAAACTCTGGAAGACACTCCCTCAATCCCTCCACCTTGTCCCCTCTCTCCCCATTTTCAAGTCCCACCTGAAAACCTTCCTCTTTAACCATGCTTACAGCCACCCCTCACCCCCAGCTCAGAGTCAGGCTCCACCACTGTTAAGCACTCTGCCACATTACCCTGCGTGGAGGGCGCTATATAAGTGCAAGTTGTTGTTATTGACCAATTTTATTTCATGATTTGAATTTAAAAGATTTCAAGGACTTCACATTAAATTTCTTCCAGTGGATTCTGATTCATGTTCCTTACTCTGAAGCCAGCGTTTGAGTATTGCCTCAACTGACACTCATTGAATTATGCCAGTATCCCACAAAGAGTCAGTGACATTGTTCTAAGAATCTTTGGTTTAAACTATTGTGCTAAAGTTTGGAGGTGGGGATTTTTTTCCTAGCCTGGAGATTGTTGGCCATGATATGGGAGAAATTCTTTTTTCTTTCAAATAGTCCATTGAATCATTCACTGAACAGACAGATGCACCTCGGTTCATGAATCTTTAGGCTCAGATGTGACTCTGATGAACCCAACCTTAGGCATTTGCTGATGTACATGTCACACCTCTGCCAGACCAATCTTCAAGCCAAAACCTAAAGGGTAGGGTGTCCTATCTGGAAAAGCAGCGGGAAAGCTTGCCAGGCAGTGGGGGAGGATGAAATAAAAATGCATAGTTCTACAACAAAAACAGCAGCTTGCATTTATATAGCAACCCCCACACCAGGCGCCATCTCAGGGCGCTTAACAATGGCGGAGCCCGAGACTGAGCCAGGGGGAGGAGGACCATAGGCACAGTCGAAGAGGAAAATTTCAGCAGAGTACAACAAAAATGTTACATTTATATAGCATCTTTCATGTCAGGAGGTTGTATCAAAGCAATTCTGAGCTGACTGGGAGTCTAATTTTGGGGATGGGGGAGCTGAGGAAGGAGGGGAGGGGAAGGGTGACCAAAACCACAGTCAAAAAGAAAGATCTTTAAGTGTGCTTTAAATGTGGGGAAGGAGACCATTAGGACCATTTTAGCCTATTCCACATCCCCGCCCTGTTCTGGGATGCTATCCTGCGTGAGGGCCACTATATAAATCCTAGTATTTGTTGTACTTGTTGCTTGCTCCACCATCAGTGGTCTGGCATTCAACCTTTCTGCCCCCATGCTTTGGAACTCCATCCCATTATCTCTTTGCCTTGTCCCCTCCCTTGGCTCCTTCAAGGCCCATTACAAGACCTTCCTCTTCGACTGCTCCTTCGACCACCCTACACTTCCCGCCCTCCACCCCTCCTGATCCCAACCCCCAGCTCGGGTCCAAATCCCTGGCTGTCCAGCAACTTGGTACGTCCTCCCAATGTGAAAGGCACTATACAAATATAATTGCTGTTATTCTTGTTGTTGTTGAATACACAGCTACTACCAGATGAGAACAGTATTAAGTATGTGACAAACATTGAGTAGAATATTCTGCTGTTGCTGGAGGAAGCAGGGCATAGCCATGAAGAAATTTATAATAAGGCTCCAATGGATCTCAGGATTGTTGTCTTATTCTGCTTCTGCGGCTTGTAATGCTGAAAGCTTTTTATCCTTACTGTAGACATCAATGAATGTAAAGACACCACACATGCTGCCTGTCATGCCTCTGCAACCTGTGTCAACACTGAGGGACGTCACAGATGTATCTGTTCTGATGCTTTCATCCTTTCAGAAGATGGACAGTTTTGTATTGGTAATGTTCCGTTTCAATCATATTCTTAGAGGGGAGAGGGTGACTGTTTCAATTTCTTAAATAGTACAATCTCATAGATAGGAAAAAAAACACTGGTGTTTCCTTGACTCTGAAGGTCTTGTATGGTTGTATTCATAGGACACTTGTGGAAGTGTGGAAGTATGAGACTGAAGGTACAAAAGGACATATTGGAGTCTAAAATGTGGCAATTTCAAATTGGATTCTAAAATAGGTTCCCAGACACACAAATAGGACTGCATTCCAATAACTGGAAGCATGTCAAGCCGATCTTGAGAACTCTGCTCTGCAAGTTGATTGGCCAAAGCAGAGTTTTCATGTGACCGGGTGATGTACTTCCATTTACCAACAACAACCCAACAATTTACATTTATATAACGTCTTTCATATCAGGCGGACACCTCAAATCACTTCACACAGCTGACTGGGAATCTGAAGGCGGGTGGGTGGGGTGGGATGGGGGGCCTAAGGGAAGAAAGCTGGCTGTAAGTGTGACAAAAGATAAATCTTAAGATGAGCTTTAAATATTTGAGGGAGTTAAGCTTAAAGAATCCTATTAGGAAATGCATACGTAACCCCTTCAACACACTTTACTCCAGCTTTTACCAGTGTTAATGAGGACAGTTCTACACAAATTGACTTAAAGCAAACCAACACTGAAATGTAGGCAGAATCACAATCAATGTCATGGTGGTTTCTTTGTCCCACTGGCGTCTCTTTCACACCATGGAACTGTTAGTAGGAGGCGTAACTTCAGACTCAGAAGACAGAAATGAACTAACCCTTTAAGGATGAACCACTTTGCCCCGAGGTTGGTCAATATTTCAATCATAAAGTCTAAGAAATACACTGGGGCTAATCTGCAATATTCCTGGATTACTCACCATTAAAATTCTCAACAATTCACGATTGCTCCCTTCCATGTCAAAAATCAAGTCAGAGAAATACCCCAAATTAGACCAAGAGTACTTTTAAAACTTGGGGTCATCCAGATGGATTACAATGGGCTTCTATTTCTGTGGACTTCCCATAAATCCCTAAAGTAATTTCTTGAAATTCTCTTAATTTCACAACACTAAGAGGAATTTCTCTGAGGATAAGTGGTTGAAGGTTGCCCGAGAGAAAGCTGACTGTTAGAGAAACCACAGAAGAAGAAAGTCAACAGAGAAGTGGAGGAGAGAGAGGAGACAGTGGAGGAGAATTGAGAAAGAATGACATTGAATGCATTGTGTTGACTTACGTAGTTGGCATATTTCACATATAATACCCTTGAGCTAAAGCCTAAACATGACTGGTTGAAAAGCAATTCCTTGTTGGAAACTGTTCATGCTTCATTGTTTTCTATAAATTGGTTGAGAAGCTCTTGTAGTAGTAGCAACAAAGAGGTAGTTAATGCTTACTTGATGGCTCGTCAAATTCAGTGAAAGCCTTCATCTATTTTCATTGAATTTATCTGAAGCATAAGATAAAGCAGGTATTAACTGTAATTTTCATGCTACGTATGGTATTGTCCCTTTGGGTTCAGACATTATAACACACTGTTCATCATGTCTAACCCGGAGCACAGTATTAACCTTTAAACCCCTCAAAGACACTTACTAACCATCTGGCATTCTGCTTGTGTCACATGTATAGAATATACTGCGGCAAAACCGGCAGTATGTAAAAAAATATTGTTTATGTTTGAATTAGTAGCGTTCGATAATTCAGTGAATCTAAAATAATAAGTGGAATTTGTGATATTGATAGAATGCCTTAATAAGGAGCGAGTGACAGTCATGCAAATGGAAACTCCTTTTAGTTATTGGAAGTACAGAATAACACTCGAAGTGCTGTGCATGATATAACGTGGTCGAGAGCGCACATAGATCAACAGGAATTCTAATAAGATTACAAGAACAATAATACAAATTTCCATTTATATTATACCTTTCTCGTCAGGAGGCCAGGCATACCAAAGCACTTGAGAGTCCTGGCATGGCATTGCTTCTTCAGCAAATCCCAATGACAAATAGCATAAATTGAACACTGATGATACATAGCATAAAAGACTGAAAGCTTACTTTATTTATAAAACTTTTATTCTCTGGAGTACTGTCTAAATGTGGTGTGTCTGACATTTTTATGAGGAACAATGTTTTATATGTCTAACATGGTATTTCTATTTCTTAGATTCTGGCAGGCTATCTAAAGCTTCAGTGGCTTGTATCATTTTAGCCGTCATACTTTGTTGCCTTGCTATACTGACATTGATAGCTCTTAAGCAGAGGTGAGTAATAATAGTAATAAAAATAACAATAATAATACATGCATTTGGTATACAATATAACATTACACTCATTTGATATAGCGCCTTCTGAGGCCCACATCGGGACATTGAACAGGACCTCAGTTCAATGTCTCATCCAGGATTGCACCTCCGACAATGAGACGTAACCCCAATACTGCATAGGAGGGTCAACTTAGATTATTCGAGTTCAATGTCCCGATGTGGGCTTCGGAAGCGACAGTGCTACCAACTGAGCCAGGCTGACAGATATAGCCCAGCAAAATGAAACAAAACATATCAACTGAAACGCACAATAAACATATTTATTCATATCAAGGCTACTTAGTTGACTAACCCTGAAATGCATCACTATTTAATATTAATTCATGCACATTTATTCTACATCACAGTTAATACTTGCACACATTGATTGCAAAATCAACAGATATATTTTTAAATCAATCTAATTTACAAACGAATATTGCTAAAAATGATCTAAAATAAACAAAAATGATACCTGGGTAGGGGAACAGATTATCTGTAAAAGACAAACATTCAATCAACAAAATCATTTCCGTCTAGGAGTTAGAAATTACAAAACTGCTGAACCCTGGGTCGATTTGTAGTGTTCCTTGTGTTATCTGTACACAATAAATATGAGTTGTTATTAACTACTTTGATAATAATGATCCTTGCATTTGATATAGCGACTTATCATGCCATTGAGACATTAAGTGAATTGACCTTGTATTTTGTAGGGGGACACATGATTGTATGTGATGCACATGATATACTGGTTTAATAAATACAAAAGTAGTCTACAATAATTGTGTTGTGAAGTTTTACACAACAATGGGGAAACATTCTACTTGTCCCTAGATTTATTAATGTAGCATTTTAGAGTGTCCAGAATACGGAAAATTGTTGAATTCAGTCTTAACTTTGAACATGTTTGTTTTCTGTAGTTCTTTAAAAGAATTTACAGAAAATAAGCTGCAAAATTAAGGCTTTATTTAAGAATTTGCCAAATATTTGATGTTCTGAAATTCTACAGACATTTTGACCCAGATGTCATTTCTCCTGGGTAATGTTTTAAAATGCCACAAACAGTATCTCTATGGAGTAAAATTTGTGGTGTGTAATAATTTAACACTGGCATATATTAACACAAGTTAATTGTTGTCACAATGTAGATATTAGTGTGGCCTCGCCACCTACTGGTCATTTAGTCCATTGCACCATGTATCTGTATGAATCTTGTAACATGTAGCCTTAATTTACAGTGATGTTAAATTATTGAACACTGCAAATTTTCTCACTATGTTCATAAATTGCAGTCCTCAAAGGCCAACTACATTTTAGCAGATTGAATTGATCCAAATAAGATTTTGAATTGATGTCAAAAGGTCCTCCTGATTGGCTCGCGCCAGCGCCTCTGCACCTCAGGCTCTGGTAGCATCAACCTCCATGGTTGCACACTTCAACTCACCAAGCCAGTCAGGAACCGAGGTGTCTTGTTCGACCCTCAACTGTCTTTCCTTCCCCACATCCAAGCCATGACCCGCTCTGCCACTACCTCACCCCTCAGGCCACTCCAACATTCATGCCTTCATCACCTCGAGGCTCGACTATGCAAATGCCCTGCTTGTCGGCCTTCCCAACTCCTACCTCCACAGGCTGCAGATAATCCAGAACTCTGCAGCCCGTGTCCTCTCCTGCACCAAACTCCGTGACCCCATCTCCCCCACTCTCGCCTGACTCCATTGGCTCCCTATCCTTCAATGGATCCAGTTCAAGATCCTGGTCCTCACTTACAAAGCCCTCCATGGCATCACCCCACCCTACCTCTGCGACTTCCTAGCCCCTACCAACCCATCTGCTCCCTCCGCTCAGCCGGCTCTGGCCTCCTCCACGTCCCCCGACCCACCCGCCCCACCATTGGTGGGAGAGCTTTCAGCCACTCTGCCCCCAACCTTTGGAATTCCATCCCCCAATTACTCCGCCTCGCCCCCTCCTTAGCCTCTTTCAAGTCCCGCCTCAAAACCCTCCTTTTCGATCATGCCATCGGACACCCCCTTCCCCTCCCCCCTCCTTCCCCCCACGCCCCCCCGACCCCAGCTTAGGTCGGAAATGTTGAACACTGTGCAGCCCTTGGAACGTCCTCCCGATCTGAAAAGCGCTATACAGATGTAATTTTGTTGTGGTAGTTGTTGTCATCTTCAGAGAAGTTTAGGAAATCTTGATCACAATTTTATTCATTTCTATTCTCTTTCTCTACTCTTGTGTTGTGTCTAAAGTTTGCCTTGAGAAAGACTTCTTTTTGACCAACTTTTGATGGTCTTTTGGTTACCTTTCCCCTCTTCCTCTGCCACCACACCCCCGACTGGGCTTTCTGCCAGCTCTGTGAAGTGTTTGAGACGTCCTCCCAACATTAACAACAACATTGTGCATTGATACAACATCCTTCACATGGGGTAGGGTCTCTGAGTGCTTAACAGTGGTGGAGCTGGACATTGAGGAGGGGAAACAGGAGGTAGCGTAGGCATGGTCAAAAAGGAAGGTCTTCAAGTGTGGTCTGAAGAATGGCAAGGAGAGGCAAGGTGGAGAGATTGATGCATTAAACATGAAAGACACTATATAACTGTAAAACTGTTGTTATTGTGTAAAGTTACCTTTCGTAATATTCTATGAATGCCTTTTTTAGAATTTATGTTTATCTACAGGTCAAATGCAAAGAAAGCAATAATACAGATGAGTATATTAAATGGTAATGAAAATCTGGGCGTTGAGACCAACCATGACAAAATCAATGAAACGAGGCAGAGAGGTGTGGAGGTTAGTCAATGTCCAAAACTGCTGTGATTTCTCATCATATTCCCTGCTGGAGACTGCACTATGATGGTGGTAACTAATGCAGTAGAATGATTGCCGGTCATTCTTTCTGTGGGTCACTGTTTACGAATGAAAGCTAAAGATTAATTCATTCACTAAATGCTACACATTGATGAGCCTTTGAAAGGATTAACACTAAATAGATTGTGGCACCACAAAGTGATGTCAAAGGTCAGGTATCCAAATGCTTAATTCCACATATTGAGCAGATTTCAGGGAGGATATCAGAGAAACATAGAAAGTGGAACTTGACTTCTTCACAACAGTGTGAGAGAGAGAATCAGAGCATGTTACCCCATTATTTACATGGATACAAATATAGCACATAATACCCATGTGTACAGGTTGGGCTAAATGGCCCGTTTCCATATGTTAACTAACTCTATGTCATGCCTGTAAGGACTGCATTCTTGCTGATGCCATGATTAATTTTGATGTTCAGTAACTTTACCGACACAAATCTAGTGTAGTTTCAGTCTTCTAACAAGCTGTCATGCTGTTAGTCTCCTATGATTGGGAAATCTCTCTTACATTAACTGTGTGTCTTACACTGATTGGCTGATGTGGCAGTAACTTTTTCATGCTCCTTCAGTAAAAAATAATTTTTTTCTCGACTAACATTTATTTTCTGTTTTCGTTTAGAATGCTGGTGACAATTTTGTCTGGAAATAAAACCAATTCACTTTGCATAAGTGACAACAACACACATTCAAGGAACCCTTAAAGCATTTTTCATCATTTCAGCCATTTCTAACATCTTTGCCTACCAAACATCTGTGAAAAAGAAGAACCATGAAGACATGAAGCTGTTTAGTTCTTTGGAGCCATGTGCAGAGCTCTTAAAGGGTTTGTAATTTTACACCTGATTCTCAGCCCAGGAGAAGACTCTTTAATGACTGTTTAGCATCATACATATCAATGGAAAACTAACAACTTAGAGTCTTTCGTGGGTATGAAACACCACTAAACTCAATTTTTACATGAGTTAGAGGGCTATGCATGGTATTTTAGAGCAGGAAATACTAAAGTATTTAAAATAACACTTAAGTACTTGATTTCCATTCAAACAGCAATTGAGTCACTTAGAGTTTGATTGCAAGTTTTAGAATGTGTCACATATGTCATTGAAAAAGAACACTGGAAGATTTCTACATTTAATGGTTTATCATTAAGCATTCTGCTCAATTACAGTCACCATCAAATAATGGTTGCTTCAAGGATTCGATTATCCTGAATATTCATTCTGTGGAACCTATGGTATATCTCTCTTGTGACAGAATATTCATTCACCAGTTGTCAATTTATTTGATACTTTTCAGCACAATTTGAGGACTTCTATTTTTTCTTCTTTCTTATTATATTAAAAGGAAGTTGAATTAAATTTCCCTACTCTTTTCTTAAAGAGAAGGATTTACTTCCTTAGGCAGTCCATCCAGAACAGTGCTCTGAAGCAAGGAATGGGTTTCTTTCTGTTTTTTCTCTGTTCCCTTCTAAACTAAGTTTTTTTTTGAAGGGATGATGATCAATAATGAACTGTTTCTAAACCGATGATTACAATCAACAGGCAAATTTACTTTAGAATACACAATACTCTAAAATCCTAAAAAGTGCTTTGAGTTACAAATCCACATGTATGTTAAAAAAAGGACCCTTTAGGTCCAAATATAATGAGATACAAATTTACATTTATATAGCCCCTTTCATGTCAGAAGGATGACCCAAGGTGATTAACGTTATAGACTGGCTTGGCAGCTGAGCTGATGGTGGGTGCCGAAGGTAGTGGGAGGGGAAAGAAGACTGAAAGCATGGTCAAAGAAATAGAGATGAACTTTGAACAAGGGAGGAATGCTCTGTTTCTCCTAAGAGGGACCATATTTTAACTATTCAACGCCTTGTTGTAATCATTTTTCAGGCCTTTTCTATTGTGGTTGAATTGGATGATTGCATTTGACACAAGTCACGACACTGCATTTGAAGAACTTTAAATTAGATCTTCTGTCAGTCTATTGGATATCCGTTAATTATTGGCATTATCTACCTTTGATCTGTCCAACTCCACAGAAAACGTAGTTGGCTCGCTTTTCATATTCTAAAATTGGAGTTTCAGTTAATAAAGGAATTCCATCAGCTTTCATCCAAAGGCTTTGAGCCCGACGCTGAAACATTGATTAGTTCTGTAGTGAAAAGTGGGCTGAGGTCAGTAACTGTGGACCTGGGAGAAGGATCCATTAAAAATATGTGCTCAGCAAAACGTTTTGATATTTTTCTTTCGCATTTCTACAAGGACAAATCATTTATGCACAGTCATTCCTGTTAGATGGAGTAATACATTCCTCTGATTTAATTTGTTCATTAATTTCCCCCAGAAAAATGTTTCACCTACAAATTTCCTGAGGTAGGAGTTTGTAAATGTGTTTGCAATGTCTGTTGTCTTATTTTTCTAAACCGAGTCTCTATCCTGCGTGAAGAACGTTATAATAAATGCAAGTTGGTGGTGCTGTTTGTATTTTTAAACGATGCCACAGATTAGATGCAATTAAAGAGGACTTGACTTCAATGCGCTCAGATCAATAAATAGTTGCGTCCCATTTGAAATTAACTATTTTGCACACACTCAAATTAAACCCACAAGGCAGAGTGAGTTACTGAAGTCATTTGTCAGTATGTTCACAGAATGGACCAACATATTTGTTTAAGCCTATTAAATTGGGAAGGAGAAAAAAAACAAATATATTAATTTCTTGTAATATGTGTGATTGAGACAATAGCTCCTATTTTCCATAAATCCAATAATCTACTTTTAGATCAGTGCAATTATAATCCTTTTTTTTGTTGGTCAGCTGGGTGTATGACACATGTGGAAACCCATCACCAACCTAAATTAAATAATCCTTACTTTTGATATAACACCTTTCACATTAGGACTTCTCAAAACACTTCACAGGATTTACTGTAAAGTGTAGTGACTGTGAGGTATGTTCATTGTAAGCGAATAGCGCAGCCAATTTGTTCACAGCAATGTCCAACAAACAGCCATGAAGTGAGTGACCAATTTTATTTTTGAGGATTGGTGGCCAGGACATCGAGAGAAATTCCTTTCTCTTTACGAATAATGCCATGGGATTTTTAACATCCACCTGAACAAGCAGACAAGACCTCGGTTTAATGTCTCATCCAAAGGAAAGTACCTTTGACGATGCAATAGACCTACTATTTTGGAGTATCAGTGTAGACTAGGTGAGTTCAAAATCCCAACAAATCCTGATGTGGGCTTGAACCCACTACCTTCTGTCTCGGAGGCGATCATGCTACCAACTGACAATTAATATTATTTGTGCAGCAAGTCTAAACCTAATAGGCGTGAATATGATTCTTAAAATTGGAACCTATGGTATATCTCTCTTGTGAATGGTAAACAAAAACATTGATTTACTAACTCTAATATAATGATGCAGTTGCTGAGGGAGCCTCATCACAAATATTATATGTTTGTGGACTGCTCGCTGCAGGTACATCTGCGATGGAAGTCTATGACAATTGCTTCCTTAAACATCTATTACCCTGTCCAAAAAAAAAAATCCATTTCTTGACAAAAACAAGGTAGAAAAGAAGATTGGATGAGGAGAATTTTGTTAGTTCTTCCAAAAATATCATTGCCAAAACCATAGCAATTGAGAGTAAGACAACTTTGATTACTCTAGCTTATCCTGAGCTGTTGATTAGCCTGGGTCATTCTGAACATACGAATTCTCACATTTGATATAGCGTCTTTCATGTCGGGATGACGTTTCAAAGCATTTCACAAGATATACTACAAAGTGGAGTGACTGTTTGGTAGGTGAATGTGGCAGGCAATTGTGCACATCAATGTTCCACACAAAGCCAAGAGGGACCAATTATATTTGGTGGTTGTTGGCGAGGACGCTGGGAGAAACTCACTGTTATTTTCGACTAGTGCCATGGGATCCTTAATGTTCACCTGAAAAGCACACAGGACCAAGTTTAAAGTCCAAATAAATCCAAAAGACAGAAACTCTAAAATTGCAACACTCCGCCAGCACTGTATTAGTGTGTCAGCCTCAATAATCAGAGTTCCAAGTCTCGATGTAGGCCCACAACCTTGTGACTCAGGGATGGGAGTCCTACAACTGAGCCGGCGCAAAGCAGAAACTGACTGGAAGCTTTGCATATGTCAGATTATTTCTTTCTCTATTCAAATGTGTTTAGCAATAAAAAACTTCTGGATGGCAAAAAGTTTCTTAGCAATGCAGGCAGCTGTATTAATATTAAAAAAACTAACCCTAACCCTAACATCAGGAGGACATGTCATAGCACTCCACAGGATATGGGGAAAGAACGGGGAGATGGGACTGATTGGGTAGCTCTTCCAAAGAGCCAGCACAGGCACAATGGGCCAAATGGCTTCCTTCTGTGCTGTAATATTCCATGATTCTATGATTCACTGTAATGTGCAGAGACTATGTGCTTTTCTAGGCAAACACAACAGCAAATTTGTACACACCAATGGCCTACAAACAGCCATGAAGTGAATGACCAATTTTATCTGGGAGATTGTTAGCCAGACACCAGGATAAACTTCCTTCTCGTTTCAAGAAGTAGATCGAACAAGTAGATGGAACCTCTCATTTAATTTCAAAACATCCTCTGAAAGACATCACGTCAAACAATACAGCAGACGACTAGTACCATATTGGACTGTCGACCTAGACTATGTGAGTTCCAAGTTCCAATGTGGGGCTTGAACCCACAACTCTCTGACTCAAAGGTGAGAGTGCTACCATTTAATCCAGACTGACACATTTTTATAGCAAATTGTGGAGCCACTTGGTTCACATGATTTAACTTAATCAAGTTGTTGACAGGTAAGTGAATGGATGAGATAAATGCAAGTATGCTCACATCATAATTAATGGAGCACATATAGACAACAAAGCTACAAAAAGTGTTGACAGTACGGGACCATTTGTAAATAAAGATAAAGTAATATTGTCACAGGTGACTTAAGATGAATGATATTTTTCACTTTACACAATAAGTAAATAAAGAAATCTATACTAGTGCTTTTATACTCATCTTATCTCCTAAACCCTAGATGTAAAATAGCAAGCTATATATTGCATATTGATGCTAAACTGTATTTTTTTTTATCTAAATGGAAGCTGTAATGGAGTTAATCATGTGAACAGTTGCATATAGTAATCAAAGTAGTTATGGCAAAACCAATTGGCTTTATCATCGTCACTGCTACAAAGAGACTGACTGCCACACAGTTTATTATTTGTTTGCCGTACAGCTAAGATTGTATAGATTCTTCAGATCAATAATGGTGCGGTTAGCGACCCAATGTTAACCCAAAACAGTAGAACTGCTTTGAAAAGCAATTTAGTTACAGCATGATTAAATAGACTGACTCAGAGAATACATGAAACCATTCAACCTTTCACTACAGCAAAAAACATTGTGGGATTGCATTGTATTTTGCATTGAAATACAATAAATTCCATTCAATCAAACCTCCAGGTAAGTGGTGCATTTCGCATATTGGCTGAATGACAATATTATCAAATTGACTCCACCAAGGTTAAAGAAAACAAAAGCTCTACAAGGCAGCTTACGTGGGTATCAGTCTCTTTTTTTAAAAAAAAGTCTGG